ATAGGTGTGTTTTTAGGTGTCAATTAGCAGAACTCTCCAAACAAAATGAATCCAGGAAGCTACGTAAACATCCAGATAAGTTTAACTTATTTATATCTTTTTTAATAAATCTATCTGCAAGATCAGTGAAGTTGCATGTCCGTTATTATATGACAGAATGATTTCTCTGTTCACACGTTTTTCCCACAAGTAAATGCAAAAATCTGACAATCAACTTTTCGACCTTTTCTCGTATCTTGTGCGTGATTTTTCCTGACCAAAATATTATCTTCGATCACCCGAACTTTCGATTTATCCAAACTGCTCTTCTCACATGTCATTGCAAGATGTTCGGATAAACGTGGCATGTTAATATGTTCGGATATGTTAATGTATCTTTAGAGTCTAAAGTTGAGACTCTAAAGAAGACCGAAAAGTGCTCCTGTGAGCAGTTTTCAGTGGACTATTACCTTTCAGGTCAAGAAGCTCAAATTCAAACTGTTCTTTTGTTGTCTCACATTAACTGTAAAAGGGTCTGAGAACATGGCCTGTTGTATGAAGTTAGATCCTGGACAAAAATATCGAGTCGTAGTTTCGGCACCTCACCACTGTGTTTCGTGGATTCTATGAGTCGTTTTAGTCATTCGATGCACCGAATCGCTTCACGACAACGTTGTTCAGCGCATTAGTCCCCTTGCTTTTAGACGAGTCGACGCACTGTATTGCACCTATGACGACTCGACGCACAAGTCGACGACTCGACGCACAAGTCGACGACTCGACGCACTCCCACTATCTTAACCTTAACCTGTCTTAATGTCGAGGCGCAGTCTGTTGACTTGATGCAGTCTGTTCTGATGCTGCTGCTGATGCAGGGCCGCCGGAGCCAGGGGGCCCCCCCTGTTTGCAAAAAGTATAAAAAAGTGCCCTTTTTTGAAAAGTATATTGCGTGTATTTTTCAATTCCAGATATTCTGTCTTTAGAAACTAAGTAAAATAACATAAATCTGGACGTTGTTGGAGGACCATTCATTGAAAATTCCTTAAATGTTTACTTGGTCTTGATGCAAAAAGCTTAAGCTTCTGTGATGAACAATATCAACTGCGAAGGAGACTGCCAGTTCCGCGAGAAAATTTTCTTAGCAGACTTGAACTCTCTAGTATTTCTTCAGCAACAAACGCATTAGTGAAAGGTCCGGTCAAGTCCCCGGAGGGCACAGTCAGTTGGTCTAATGTATATCGTGTGTGTTCTTGAAAGTAGAAACTGGAGCCTTATCTCTGATTCTGGGATGCGTAAAATGTGCCCTATTCTGTGACTTTGCCAAAATTGTGAAACTCTTTTCACTGAGAGCTTGAGCAGGAATTTTCGATACCAATTCATGTTAGAACCATTATTTTTCTTAAACTTATGACTAGGCAAGTTAAAAAACAGAGTTCAATAAATTTGATTTCAACAACAATCCCTTGTGGTTCTTGACATATATATTAACAAAATCAGACATCTGCAAAACTATAACTGCAACATATTGCTTGCTGCACAACATTGTATTCAATGCTTTTTATGATAAAAAGGAAAATTTTTATAATTGTCTAAATTACAGTGAAATCTGTACCATTTTTTGAAACAAATATTTGTGCCCTTTTAATTCGTTTTGGCCCCCCCTGTTCAAAACTGCGTCCGGCGGCCCTGTGATGCGTGCATCGTCGTGACTATTGTACGTGTATTAGTTGAATTCGTGGGCACATTTGATATTGAATCGATACGTTGCAAAGCATTCTGAAGGATGCTTCGAATTTCTTCCATCTCGTCTTCTTGCTACATTTGGCGGGAATTCACAATGATATGGAAGGTCTCTTCGCCATAACGAGATCGACGCCTCGACGCATGAGGTTAAGATAGTGGGAATGCGTCGAGTCGTCGACTTGTTGGTCGAGTCGTCGACTTGTTGGTCGAGTCGTCGACTTGTGAGTCGACTCATCTAAAAGCAAGGGAACTAACGCGCTGAACAACGTTGTCGTGCAGCGATTCGGTGCATCGAATGACTAAAACGACTCATCGAATCCACGAAACACAGTGGTGAGGTGCCGAAACCACGACTCGATATTTTTGTCCAGGATCTAACTTCATACTGTTGTACCTTAGCATTTTGAAGTCTTGAATTCTATTTTGTAGCCATTGACATGGGTTGTGGGGCCACCTTGAATTTCTAGAACAAGTGTAACGCGTTCATGGTTTGGTCATGATGCCAGCCACTAGGTTCTCAGGAGGAAGGGGTATGGGGGGACAAGGCAAAAATGTTAGCCCACGCCCTTTTTACCAGCAGGGAACGCCGAATTCACCAATATGAAAGCCTATGGCTAAATTTTGGTTGCGTTAAGGTATACTATAGAATTTCATCTATATAAATTCATTGCCAAACACTACCCCTCCCTATCATTTTATCATCCAATTTAGAAAAATGCAAAATTGATTCTGCATAGAAATGGGAGGGACATGTCCTGCATAGATATTGGCATGGTTCTGCTACACCCATAAAGGATTTTTCATGCAAGTGGGTTTTAAGTGGCCTTGTCATTATTCGAAATTTTTGGCTTTACAAAAATCATGGCAATTATAAATGGGCTGGTTGTAAGACTTTGATTGTACACTTAGTCCTAATACTCCATATCAGAAACATTGAGAATTCAAAAAGGAAAATCAAAATCCCAAGAAGCAAATGTAAATCAAATAGTTATTTACATCAGCGTGTTTTTTACATTGAAGCATAAAATAAGCGTAACATCCTTGTTCTGATGATGGGCAAAATAGTCAGTATCTTATAAGACGCCGTTGGTTTTCGAACTTTGTTATCATCTTCTGAAAAATAATTTCAATTTGTCAAAGACCGACAGTTAAAAAGGGGGTTTTTCTAGTTTTTGAATTTGTAATGGAACTAGGCTGCTTGCCCCCTCTGCCACTCCTGGAAAAGGGCGGGGGACAGCTGGCCCTGCAGCCCCTTCAGGAAAGGTTCCCCTGATCACATCATTTATTGAATTGAGACTGCGATAAAATAACTCCTCTAGCATCCTACCCTCCGACCACATCGTGCCTTATTTCCCAAAGAGAAAGGAGAACCGAAGGACTTCCCGGTTTCCCAGTGAGCAACTATAAATGCAAATACAAAGTATATCAATGAACTATAGCATTTTTCTCAATTTTTGAGGCTTAGTCCCCCAGCCCCCAGGGTTTTTTCTTACGTGGTTTTGTTACCGTTTTGTGGTGTCGTGAACTTGATTTGTGGTGTTGTGATTTTAATTTTGTGGTGTTGTAAAAGAATCGACCCTTCGGAAAATTTTTTTTCGCATATTTTAAGGAATCGCTTGGAGGAACTATAAAAATTTCAAATCAATACAAAAACTTCTCCAGTCCTTAATCTTAAAATCTTTTTACTTTTGATCTTGATTGTTTATTTTTTTCGCGTAGTTCGTCTAAGGTAACACTTTATGCGTCCGTGTACACCCCTTGAAACAAATGCCTTATCTCTTTCGATTTCAACAATCCATCACAAAATAAAAATGAAGCATTTGGACGGGCGCTCGCGGGGTTTACGCTGCCAACAGAGTCTCATTTTCAGCTGAAAAGGACAGGGTTATTCTTTTTGTCTCTTTTTTTCTGGCAGAGGTATGCCCATCAAAGATACTTTTTCCAGAACAGGTCAGAGTTGTGATTAAAATTAAAGCGTTGTCCACTCTATAACTTCCTTCGCTTGAAGCTCAAATTTTGAATTAAGCTGTTATTCCAGGATAGGTTTCATGCTTGCAGAATACTTTCCAGGACAGGGTCAAAACAATATTTGTGGAAAGCACATCCCCGTAATTTTTCTCCAAGGTAAACCCCACCGCGGATAAGGCCATAAGGGCTCCACATTAGCACTGGCAAATAAAAATGCACATGTAAGTGCAGATTTTGTGTGGTACAGATAATTATATAATGATGGTTCTACTCCACGCGGATGTTTTCAAAACATTGCATGCGCTCCCATTAGCCTGCTAACATCACATGAGTTTTGAACTGCAGCTAGCACCCTAGCCAATACTTGCATAAGATTATACGTATTTATTTATGGTGGGAGGCATAACCAAATATGCCAGTTTCATATTTTCCATTGCGGCTTTCGTCAGTGGCGGCGCCAGCTATTATAGAGTGGGAGGGTAATGGGCGCGACCAGTGGAACCACGCCCCTTTTGCCTCGTTTTAGTGATTTGTACCTAGTCAACTTTCCTTAGGAGATTTGATCTACCCCTACCCAGCGTTTTTTAATCCATTTTTAGAAGAAATATGTAGACCATATTTTCAGAAAAGTGGGGGGGTAATAGCCCCCCATACCACCCCTTGGCGCCGCCACTGGCTTTCGTAGAATTGACCACATCTTGATGCTGTAATGCCAGTTCCATAACTACTAGATCCAAGCATTTTCTATCGTGCACTTTGCAATGGGGGCCCTGGCTGTACGTTTATTTGTTTATCAGGGTTTTTAAGTTTTCTAAAATTCCTACCACTCATGTGCTTAGATTCTAGGGGTTGGGTGCTGTTATTCAGACCATGTTTTATGAGTATTTGCTTTCTTATTTGGTAAAACTACACTATCCCCAAACATTTACTCTCTACAACGCCAATGCCAACACTTAAACTTATTTTTGAGGACAGTGGCTTCAATGCTACCACTGTTTCAGCTTTTCTCAACAGCAGAGTTAGAAAGTTCAACAAACAAATTACCAGTGATTGAATTTATGATGTTGTAAATTTTTCTTAGAATAACCCCTGCCAGCCCCCTTTTGGTATTGGAAATTGGACCTGTAGTGAAACTACTTTTTGCGTAGTAGCATAACCTTTTCTTGTCAGAATATTTCAAGGTGATCTTTTGGAGTAATCTTCAGTTTGTTGCTTAAAATTCTGCGGAAGCCCAGCTTGGGAAATTTTAAACGACCAAACCAAAGAAACCAAAGGAGGTAACCAGAGCAAATTCCATCCCAGAATGCATCACGGAAAAAATACAACAGACGAAGGTGAGGGTCATTTCGTCGTAGTTATGCTGTGAGCGAAGTGTTGATGAAATGGGGTTATTCCAGTCAAGGCAGGACCATGGAGTCGAAGACATCGAGATTCCAGTGCCTAGAACTTATGGTTACCCTGCAAAATGTGGTAAGAGCTTTTCTGCCCTTCCTTTTCAAAGTTGGCAAGGTCATAAATATCGACAAGGTTTGTTTATCAAACCTGTAGGATTTCGATAGGCCTATTTACGATCACCTTGCATCTGCCAGTTTGAGAGTTATGCGAGAGAATTTGAGTTGCCGAATGTTATCTACTTACTACTAGTCGATTTGCGCGAGTTAACATCTTTAATTTTGTTTAAATTTGCCTCACTCCGTGGCTTGAGGCTCACGGGTTTGGAAGTGTAGTTCTGTCGTCATAATCAGCGTTTCGATAAATACTATTCCTGTTGAAATATGTGAGAAGGAAGAAACGCAAGATATGCTGTCCGCCGGATTCTATGAATCTTGCAGTGAGTAATTAAATGAAGGTATTAGTTAGGGAAAAAGCAAAAGGACGACGAGAATCCAATGTTGTGTAATAGAAATATTTCTACAATAGATTTGACCATATAACGTATTAATATTTCGCCCTGGGACAGGGCTTCATCGAGTAAATGACCTATAGTAGTGTATCTCTGTTAAATGGTTCCTAATTTTCTAGTTTTAATGTTCATTTTAATCTAAAATTTTCAACGTATATAACTTCTTTCCTCGTTATTATAGGGAACTACTTTTCTAGTCACTTCATTATGGGTGGCGAGAAATTCGAAACTGTAAACCCAGAATGCTTTTTATTTGGGGAAAACAATGATCTGAACTATCTGTGCAACAAACCAGCCCAGGTATTTTGCATTTTTGTATACATTGGTCATATCTGTTGATAATATTTATCACAATGTTATATCAAGGACAAACTATCACTTATTACCCTTGTATATTTGTCAATGAAATCTGAAAATGAAACTGAATTAGATATTTACCATGAGTGTAATTCAAGTTTAACTAAAAGTTTGCAGACCCCTAAACAAATATTATTTGTGAATATGTTAAACAAAAAATTGTGATTTGGGTTGTAAACTTCATTTCTACAGGCTAAATGTTTTCACCTTTGATTATTGCATCAAAATTCTTTATCAACTGGCAGCAATCCAAAGATAAGACACTTAGCTATAAGCTATAACAAAATATGTAGCTATCCTAGGTTACTTTCTTTAAATTTTTTGATGTAGCTCTATTTTATGTCTCAAACTATGAATTTTGAAAGAAACCCTTTAAAATTATGGATTGCAATGGAAACCCGTTTCCCCTCCATCAGCTCTAAGGTGAGGCTTGAATTTAGGACCTACTTTGGGAAAGTCTGGCAAAGACATGTGCCAATTCAGATATAATTACAGTTGCAATAATGAATACACCACCATTTCTTCATTTTCAGTTTCCATACCCACAACCAACAGGAACTGAGCCAAGCAGAACATTGAGATGCTTAGTTCATCTCAGGAAAGATACCTTGCGTCTAGTCAGGTGTGCTATTGTGCATTTTATTTTCTATATTCATATTATCAAATCATGATGATTTCAGTGGGGTTTTTGGAATAACGATGCGTCATGTGAGTTTTTTTGACAAGCCTTGTTGTCTCTTGAACATAATAACACTTAATACAAAGACAATAGCTTGACAAGATGATGATAAGCCTACCTGCATTGTGTAAATGTCTTACACAATAAGATAATATTTTAGAGGGGTTCAAAGCAGTGACAAACAACTGGAGGGGGCAAGGGGAGGTGGTTGCCACCCAATATTTTGGAGGACAATGGTCTTTTGTTAAAAAACAATGGGGAAATGTGACATCATCCTCTCAAATCAATAGGCTTGCCCCCTCCCCAATATTTGACCAAGTGTTTGCCCCAGGTTCAAAGCCATTTATTTTCATGATCAAGCTAGAGTAACCAAAATGTTACAATGATTGATTTAAATGCAATTCTTTTCTGTTAGAAGGATATAGGATTAATAGTATATTTTTTGTTAAAGTTAATAGTTAATTATTTATTTTGCTTTAAAAGCTTTATTCATCATAATGCTTTTTTAAAACAAAACATCCTTTTGAGTTGTGAGAACTTATCACACATGATTCAGGCCATGCTGGGAATGGCGTGCGATCGCACGCCCACGCCTTGGCACACGCCTTCCATTGCTCAGAAGTGCAGTTTATTGCACGCCTTAAATAATCTGAACACTTTATTCTAAAGTGACCAATATGGCCCAGTGTAATTTTTTTATCATAATTCAACTATGAACGAACAGTGATAATCACGCAATCGTTTCTATTTGATTTCTGCTTGACGGAAAATTTGGCGAATATTCTAATTTGCTTAAGGTTATGGTAAACGTTTTCTGGATAAAAACATCCATTTTTTGATTTCTTCAGATTCTAGTAGCCGGACTTTCAAGGCACACAATGATACAAGGTTTAAAACTAACAGAAATTTTGAAAGTGGCGAAAAACCCCTGTAAACGAAGGTTTCCATAATTTCTTTTTCAAAGTTTTGGGTTGAGGTCCTAAAATCGCTTGACCTTTTAAGCCGATAATCCTTGCTTTGCGGTTGTGGTCGCTTGTCTCATTTGCAATAACTGCAGTGGTATCACGATATAACGAACCCCGGATATAACAAACTCCGGATATAACGAACTTCCCGGTATAACGAACTAAATGCCTGGTTCCTTGGATTCTGCCTAACAAACTCCTTACAAATTCTCTCGGTATTACAAACACCAGGTATAACGAACTCGCGTTATCCCCAACCATTTTTAGGTCCCTTCATCATAATTACCCTTGATATAACAAACTTTCATAAATTTTTCATCTGTTATTTTGTTTATTTATTTTCGATGTTTAATTATCACTTTCGCTTGGGGAGAAACCATTTTTATAATCGGCAAAACATACCGATGATACATTTCAATCACTGGCTGATAGACTCAGACCACGAGATGAAAGTTTGATTGCGTCAGAAATTACTGCAAATGAGTACATTGACACTACTGAATACCTTTTTACATATGAGACATTGGCAATGAGAGACGACAAAACTTTATTGAGAGACCCAGATGGAGAAGCAGAAGAAGACAAGTAAGAATGTGAAGTAATCAAAGACATCATTCAGGCACCAAATAGGAGCGAAGTGATTCCAGCGGTTTACGAGAAGGGTTTATAAACTGCAGGATTACATATTAATTAATCTACCTTCTTGTTAATGTTTTTATCTTCAATATGTTCGGTTTGACGTTAATAAAGCTTGTTTAATAAAATGTATTCTAGCCTTGTCTTATGTTTTCTTATGATAAAGTTATGTAGTCTAGTCCATATACAGCTGACTGTATTATTTAGTACTTTGGTGCAATAGCACACCATTGCACGCCTTGACACAACAAGGAGTGCGATTCATTGCACCCCTGCCATTTTATTCCCAGCATGGCCTGTGATTTATATAAGCAAAATTAAACATAATGATAATGAGCATCAAAATGGAAATAAAGATTATGCTTTTCACAACCATTCATCATCATTATAATTACCAGGGGTGAAAATTGATAGATATTGTTCAGAGAATGAAGGGTAAAACATTTTAGACTGAAAAAAGCCAATTATGTAAAAAGCATTGGATATTTTCTGATTAAGCTAAAATTTTCTAACTAGTTCAAATATTTTGAGAGGTTGGGGGAGGGGATATGAAGCAACCTAAACCTCTGACATTTACATGCACCATAACCATCATCAATCTTTAAGTCAGTTGAAATGTCAATATATTGTTTCTTCCTCTCTAGAATATCCGAAAAGAAGCCATCACAGGTGGATTGTTACAATATTGAGTTTACTTTTGATACAGATGTAGCTTGTGCAGTTCGAATATATTTACTTGCAACTGAAAATCTAGCTGGGGGCATTGCAAGGTAATTTTTCCGTTCTGCTTTTATAGCATAAAGTAAATTATGCAAATTTTGCACATGACATAGTGAAATATATGTTAATTTGGATTAATACGTACAGCTCTTATCTGGTATGTAATATATTATATGTAATGTAATATATTAAGTTTTCCTGGCTATCAGTGAATGTATAAGAGTAGAGGTACTGGCGAACACCTGGAATTTTTTGATTATGTCAGAAATTGAACCTTAGATTTGTAAATTTTTCTATTTAATGACAAATATACTTGTGGAAAAATTCTTGTGCTCTTCAGATAAAATGACCGTTTGTTGAAGGTTGCTAAGCTGACTAACTGAAACTGTGTAGTAAAACTGACAGTAATATTAATTAATTATTCACTTTTCAAGGTATACCTCCAGGAACAAGCAATCAGAGCCTGTGTTCTATCAGAGAGGGTCAAACCAGACATACTGCAATAGAATGTTCAATATTGTCCCTTCATCACTGAATGAGGAAGAGGTGATTTTTATTTTTTTCACCATTTTGTCGATTACCATCAATATTATGTTTTCTGAATATGAAAATGGCTTTGAAAAAAGCAAACATTTTACAACATACTTAAAGCTTTTTCGTCTGACACTCCTCAGAGCATAAAACGTCAGAATAGGTTCCGAAAAACATGTTTGAAAAAATATATACCCAGTTGTGGATCGAAATAGGCCAATCAGAAAAACGCAAGCACAAGACCGGTATAGTTGACCAATCAGTGCCGCGAGCCTAAAGAAAAATTACCAATGGAGTCCAAGAGAGAAAACGAACTTCTTTTGTCTAAACAATGGCGGCTTTTTCGTTTTTATGTAGATTGACTCCAAAACTGCTAGATGGAAGGACGACCGGGCTCTGCCAATTATCCGAAACATGTCGTCATTATAGAGTTTTGCACAATCTGGGTTGTCTAAAAGATGTTGACCAATTGCAGAATCACTTGTTTTAACAGTGTTTCTAGACCTACAAGATCGAGGAGGCTGTTCTCTTTGAGGGGCAGTTTTGTTTCGTATGTTGGAAGGAACATGCTGTTTTATCCTATCCCCCAATCTTTGGGTTGTGCGCCCTACGTAGCCAGAATCACACTGGCACGTAAATTCATAAATGACGGAACTTTTTTGTTTGGTAGGGACGCAATCCTTTTGAATGGATGGAAGGGCTCTCCTAGTGCTGTAAACAATCCGAGGATTGACAGCAAAGAAACAATTGGTTATGGCTTGCCTAATCTGACTCTCGAATTGCAAGGAAGTGTTACCAATCCATGGTAGTTTCAAATAAACTGGGCACTTTTGCGGACCAAACTTTTGAACAGCCGAAAAACTTGCGATCTTCTCCTTAGTATAAGATAAAATGACGTCTTCAGGATAGCCGTTGTCCAAGAAGATCGTTTTGAGTTTTTCCAGTTCAGCGTGCAGTTTAGATTTCGAGCAGATCATAAGTGCCCTATGTACTAATGTTTTGACAAGGTTGACTTTGCGTTGTTTTGGGCAAAATGAATTCCAGCGTATGTACTGACCGGTAAAAGTAGGCTTGCGATATACACTGGTAAGAAATCCAGTTTTCTGAATAGTTGGGTATGCTATAAGAGGTCAAAGTCTGGTAGATTTGAGGTTTTCACTAAAATTGATTTACAGATCAGTTCTAACATTGTCATGTAGGCAAGAGATTAGAATACAAGTAAATTATTGTTTTTTCACATGCATGTAAACATGGCTTAAATCATGACTGCACATGCATACAATTAGAAATTCTTTATTTTGTTGTTTGCATACCATTAAATTGAATTATAATTTATAGTTTATATTTGAATAAGGAACTTTTGGAAGAGAAGTCTTTGTATTCAATGTGATGATGCTATTGCCATGGCTTTTTCAAATCATAATTTCGACATTCAGTCTGTTGAGGGGAAATGGTTAAAAATATTTTCTATGCTTCTTTGTTTCAGTTTCAATATCAGCCTGGAGGCACTCAGGGTGAAGCAATGGCAATACCAATTGTTATACAAATTACAGTCGAGGAAGAAGGTATGTCGTATGGTATAAAACATCAACATTATATTTCACGTTTCAAAGAAATAATCTCATATTAGGGCTGAGCAGCCTTAATAATTTTTACAGTGCCCTCTCATAAGTAAGACTTTTGTTAAGTGGGACAGATGTTCCCAGCCCCATGGACTTCCTTATCATAGAACATTTGCTAACTGAACATTTGTGGGACAGATTCATGGGAGTCCAATGGGAATAAACTGTATAATATTCTGGTGCACATGGATCCATTTTTCTGAGAAATATTTATTGCCCTTGTGTCATTTTGGTGTTGTATTAACTGGGCTGTCAAAGTTTCATTGAATTGAAAAAAAATTTAATTATTCTTGTAGGGTTTTTTATAATTTTCTTTCGGAAATCACATTTATTTGACATGATCATAATATTCTTTTGCAGATTTTCCTTCCCAATGTGAGGTCACCTTTGCCACTTTTGAGAAGGTAAGATTTTTTAATTCTTCCAGTAGACAGGCTAATTTTTAGTTGCTAAGTGATGATGCCCTATATGGTATCAAGCACTTTTATTACAGACTGGTAAACAATAATTTTCATTAGGTTTTAGATCCCTATTCAAGTTGAATTGCTTAAATAATTTGAGTATACATTGCAAACACTTTTTCTGTGGTCTATGGTTGGCTAGTTGCATTGAAATCTCAGTGTTTGGTTTTGTGCATTGCCCTGGAAACAAAATTTATATTTGGAAGGGGCAGGGGAGGGGTCCACTAGAGAGGAAATGGTATGTTGCTACCTATTCAAAAGGTGAAGCTTCCAGCCCCATGTTACTGACAACCTTCTACTAAGAGCAACCCCCAGCTACTAGTACCCCTGCCTCTGACAGCCCTCTGTTACGACTTTGAAATTTCAGTATTTTCTATGGTTCAAAGGAATGTTTCTATCTTTTAACCAAAGCCATGGTCAAATATTTTAGATACAATTGACTCCACAAATTGGTGCTTTTGTGAGCAATTGTCAGCTCAAACAAAATCTTTACAAATCTTTCTTGCTAAATTAAGCATTTGTTAGCACAATTTTATGCTTTTTCGATCAATGAGGTTAGACTGCCCTGTAAAAGCTATCAAAATTATTTATTCATAAGGTATTTGCAGAAGTCATTTTTAGTTTTAGTTTTGAGAATGTATTTAAATGATTGAGTTCACCTGTTTTTACATCAATTCTTTCATTTTCTCTCTTTTAAAATAGCAAACGCTTTTTATTATAACCCTTGATATGATAGTAGAATATCCTCCAATCTTTGAAGAAGTTTGTTCTTATCATAATACATTTTCTTTTAGAATTCAGATAGTACTTACTCAATCAAGTTTTTAAAGCAAAAAATTGTTGTAAGTTGAGTTTGCCTTTTGCCATAATTTTTTCTGCTGTTTGAATAAATCTTTTCTTTTAAAATTAGTTAAGACTGTTGTTTTATAGTGTTTTTCTATGTAAAGGAAACTTTCAGTAAGGCTTGCCATACTGGTAACAAATGGCTTGCTTTTGCATAGGGTTTCTTTATAGATTTGCCTATCAATGCCAAATCTACTGTCATATTTTTTGAGTGGCAATGTCGATTATATCAGGCCTGGCCATTTAAGGAGAGCCATAGCTCGTGTTCCCCTCTAGGTTCACCTCAATGCTGGAGGGGAGCTGCAGATTGCTCTACTAAATTGTTCAAAAAGCAAGTTGGCCTCCTTGAAATCAGTTTTACCTTTGTTTCTGTTTTTATTCATTTATGAATAGCTCACCTGGAAATTACTAGGAAACCTGCTTACTGCTCCCCTGCTAAAAGTCTTATGGCCAGGCTTGATAAATTATATTTTTTTTAAAGGTTTTTTGGGTCTGTTTTATTCTTCTCTATCGTGAGTACACTCTTGCACCTTATTAGAGGGGACTGGTATTATGTCGAAAAATATATATAAATAATTCTTTGCGATCAGAATTTCGTAAAATGTGTAAAAAGAAGATTTCTATAATGTTTTTAGATAAAATTCCATTCCTTTTACGCTTCAATCACGTAGATAAATGCCTGTTACCTAGAATCATAATTTATTAGCCTTGAAATGATAAAGACATTTTCATCTTTAAGGCTGATGGTGTTTGTTACATAATTCAAGAAATTTATGGAATAGAAAACAAGAAAGAAGGCTCGAAGGATAAGGTACAAATTATTTTTTACGATATTTACAAATTGTGTTGTACAACCTTTCTTGTTTAAACTATTAATTTTTGTTATTGTTCAAAGACATACTGTATTAATAAAAGAAGCAGGTGACAGTGAGACCTTTGTGCGATTTGTGAAGGTGAACCCTGCGTACTGCTTCGGAAGATGATGCAATATGCTCATTGTAGTAAGGCTCTTGTATATATACGTTTTTGTTTACTGCTGATCCTGCGTACCAAGTCTGTATACACCAATTCGACTTACGGTCTCGTTTTGAAAATTTCTCCTAACCTATTATACGACTTTTAAACTATTAAATTATACGACTTTTTAAAGCTCAAATTTGGTTTTATCACCATAATCTTAGGCCGGATACAATTTTTCATATTGTTTGTGCTTGTATTTTAGATTTTACGGAGAAATTAAATTTGAAAACTTGTAAGAGATTTGACCGCAAAAATCTTTCGGGGGGAAACTTTACCCCCCTAGTCGCCAATCACGGTCAAATCCCTTATAAATTTTCTATCTTTTTGTCGTCATAAAATCAATATCGTGAGCAATACCATAATGAAAACTTCCAAGTATACTAAAATCATTGCTCGCAATCCGAAACTGAGGTCAAAAATTTTGTACAAAATAATTTGAAGAATTTTTCAAAATGAGGCCGTAAGTCGAATTGGTCTACTCACTTATCTTGAGACCAAAAGGATTGTGGTCGAGGTAATTCTCTCGGCTATTAAAAGTCTTTAGGTATCCCCAGCTCACTTCTATTCTGCCAGAAAGCATGCACACAACTTTTCACCAAGCCAGTCAATAAACATAGGATCTTAGACACGAAAGGTGTTTTTTTCAAGACAACATTCTCAAGATGGTGGTTCAAAATTAGCTACTTTGCCAAAGCAAAATATCGCATGGAATTAACCAAAAAGCTGTTATTTTGGGCAACTTGCACTTAACATGAATGCATACACCGAAGGCTCAAGGCCGCGGGCGGTTTTTCGGTTATTTAACGTATTGCGACTTGTGTATAAAAATGTAACCATTGTGGTTTCTGTGTATCTCAGGCCAGTTTTCAGTTTAATCACTCTGTCGTTTGTCCCTTGTTTAGGATGATGATCTTGATGAGAATGGGACCGAGTGCGTCATTTGTATGTGTGACACAAGGGACACATTGATTCTCCCTTGCCGGCATTTGTGCCTTTGTAATGGCTGTGGTGAGTACTTGATTTGGATTCATCTCAATTCTCTGCATTTGCTTTGCGACTTTCACTATTCAGCTCCTAATGCTTCAGACGATTCCTCTGTCAATGGACCCAACGCTAGTAGACTCACAAAACAACACAAAATTCAAATAAAGAGCTTATACCAACTCTAAGCAGCCCCCCCCCTGGATGTGCAGCTGCTTGGAAGATCTGCTGTTATCGATTAAATTATAGCTTATACTGATAAAATGTACTAAGTATTGTATCTGTTATTGTTGTTAGTGCTGGTTTAATGTTTTGTTCAAGGAATTTGAAATCAAACACAGAGAAACAAGGGCAGGCATTCACCTTAAAGGCGACGCTGAAGGGTCCCTTTCCTTATAGGGTATTGGTCAAATCAATCACTGCGCCATGGCACACTAGTGTGCAGAATGATTTTCAATTGAAACGTGGAGAGTTTTCCATTTTAAAACAGTCCGTCTGAAAAGCCGTTTGAAAATTAGCTTATCATTAGTATATGAGAATGTTTGCAAATGATTTGCCTTCGTTGATAGTGTGAATTTTAATAACAATCACACACTGTAATAAACACTGAGTGAGAATGAATGAATTTACTGACTTTGTTGTCATTATTAGGCCGTCATTCTGTACCATTTTTTTGTTGCCTGTGTGCCAAAGGGGTTTCCACTGCAGATAGGAGCAGAAATGTATGTTTTTATTAAGTTTTAACATCCCCATGATGTGGATAAGAAAATTGAATGCCGGAATAAATGTGATTGCTTTTATTGGTAAGTTTTTATTATTGTCGATGCCCAAAATTTTTTAGGAGGACGTCAGTTGTTGTTCTTCGACCGCTTTAAATTGTTATCGACGTTACTTGGCAAACAATCTCATCTACTTCTGTTTTGAATTATTTTGAAACAAACCCATCATCACCAGATACTGGAATGCAGGTCTTTAAAGCCCTGGCAAAACGACTAAACATTTCACTAAACATTTCCCTAAACATTTCACTAAAAATTTCACTAAACATTTCACTAAACATTTGTTTAGTGAAGTTGGGCGAAATTTAGCGAGGGTGGCAAAACGTGACTAAACTTTTCACTAAACTTTGCTCAACATTTTTTAGCTGCGACCTGTGTAAGACGCTGTTCGGTTGTAGGAGATCTTGCATAGGAGTTTGCTTTCTGTTTGTTTTGTTGTATGTTAGCATAAAAGACTTCAAGTGCAAGAATTGGGTAAAAATAAGATTTTGATAAAAGAATGGGAAAAGAAAATACTTTTTAGCACATCGAAAACAAAGTTGACTGTTGAAGAAGACAGTAGCGTACAAGGAGATGAAGCAAATGTCTCACGAAGGCATTCTAGAGATTTTGGTTCACGTAGAGACAGGAACGCCGAGAAAAGCCCTGGAAAACCTTTGGGTTCCCAAAGCTACGGCGTATGCGCCAGCACAGCAAATGTTTAATTGGTGGCAAAACGACTAAACATTTGCTAAACAACACTCAACAACGCTAAACATTTTTGACCAGAATCAAACTTTACTCAGCAACAATCAACACGGCTAAACAACACTAAACAAAATGGCAAAACGAATAAACTTTCCACTAAACTTTACACTAAGCACAAGTTGTGTGAAATGTTTAGTGAAATGTTTAGTGAAATGTTTAGTCGTTTTGCCAGGGCTCAAGCTCTCACTTTTTGAGTTTTTATTAACTGTCATCAAAGACTAACATCAAACCCCGTTATCAACTGTGCAAAAAGGAGTTACAATTCTAGCTTTGGGTTTCCTTTGCAGCGAATTCTCTAAGGTACCAAGCCAGCAACTGTCCAATCTGCAGATCTCGTAAGTGTCCTGTCTGTTTCTTTGTATTTTTAAATGATTATATAATTACATTTGGTGTATAGAACAGGAGGCTTTAAGCTGCAACACTGAGTCACACGCTTAATGTGATCTTCAGGCAAGACCTGTCTTTACAGCATCGAGCACTTTATGAAGGCCTGGTAAAGAAGTAATTGTTATTTGACTAGATAATTGTGTTGCTTTGGCACTTCATTGTTAGAGAATCCAGCTCATTTTTACGCGATATCTTTCATCATTATTTTATTTGATATATTTTACGCGATGCTATTGTTTAAAACATTAGCCATTTGTAGAAGGTTAATGTTCGTAAGATTAGAGAAATGATTTTTTCAGATGCCTACGGGTAGCACGTTTCCGTCTGTATCTTCAACTCATCAAAACCGTTCATTTGATGAAATTGTATTAGAGTCGGTTAACAGGTTGAAAAATGTGTCAGTTGGGGGAAATTTTAAAATCTCTAGACCAGTTAATCGCTGCTGGCAGTTGAAAATGTTTTAGCAGACGAATCTTTACCATCTTACGTCACCGCTCTGACCAACGACGTCTGAAACTAACTCGACAAATTGTGATTAATCTAATTCCCTAACAGCATTCCATGCTCTACTTCAAATAAAAGCAGTACGGCGGAAGATACCAGCTGCAGGTATTGCCGATGCCAGTGCTGCAGCCAAAGAGGTAAGTTCTTTGAAATTTACACCAAATCTTTTTTTAGCTCTAAAATAAATGGCACCTCGAACTATATTAGATCCCATTTTGTCCCTCACGAGTTTTATAAAAACAACAATAATGATTTTATCAAGACTGGGATTAAGTATCATCCCTGTATTATTTTGTGTTAGGTAGAATACAGTTTATATTAATTGTAATATTTAAAGCGAAGAGTTGAAAAAATTGGATCTTATTCTCCAAAACTATAATAAATTTATATATTCTAATCGTACTTTAATGATCTTGTTTGTGTTTAATGGATTAGGGTGGAAAGATGGAAAAAGATTGCATGTTCCCATTTTAAAGCATATATTTCCAGTTGCTCTTTGTCATAAATATAGGAGAATGAGACGAATGCTGTGTTTACTCTTGAGAAGGGCATCAAAATGCAAACATTAAAATCCATATCAGCTCTTCATGATATCAGTTTGTGGAGTAACTGCTATAATTACCATTTTTGAGCTTATATATCTAAGAAACCATTTATATCAGCTTTTGCTCTGTCATCGTAACCTTATAGATCTAGTTTCCGTAGACCCGGATTTAAAACCGAGGCCAACTTAACATGCAACTGAAAAATTTTTGCTAGATGATCCATGCAAAATTGTTTTTAAATGTTTTTCTTTAAAAGAAACATTCATCGTTACATGAAATGCGTTTTAGTTGATGTGGGCCTCGAAGATCTTTGGTGTGCTACGCAAAACGTATAACTTTGGATCATGCATAGTCGTATTAAATAAAGATCTAGCCAAACGTATATTGTTCCAGGCGACAATTTATCCCCACTCTTTTGAGGAAATTTTAAATTGCGACGATTAAAGGAATATATACTGTGTTTGAATGCAATTTTTGACTGTTTTAAGGGAAGTCAGGAATCAGATGACTATGAAGAAGTTCCGCTGGTTGATGCGCTGAATGGGTACCTTCCTGCTGATGGTGCATCAGGTAGGCTTCTTCAAGGAAAATTTTATAGTTTTTAATGGGGATGTCTTATGTGCTGCAATGGTTCATGAAGACAGGGGCTTAAGCAGAAATATCGTGGGTTACAAGGCATTGCTGTATGGGGCGAGGGGAGGATTCTCGCACCCCTGGGCTAGCAGCCCTTCAGCAAATTTTCGGTTCTGTTGAACTGCAATCGAACTTACACAAGTCTGATCTCTTACATCAGTCCGACCACACGAAATAGTCCGTCATGCAAAGTCCGATGTACACGAATGAAAAGCCGAAATAAAGCGGTACAGAGTAAGACTGAAATTTTACGAAACGAATTCATATGATTGAGAAACCGACCATGAAACACTGAGTATAAAGCGTATTGCTATCAGCTGAAGTATAGTGGAATAGATTTATCTTCATGTGAACAATGTTAATTATGTAATTTATGCCTTTGAAGTAACTAAAATAGTCACGGATGTGTTTCTCAAAAGATTCATTGGGATGATTTTACCAAGGTAACCAAGATTGCTTTGATAAGGGTTTCGAAACTCTGCGAACTTTTATTAAATCAAAATCATTTCAAAGGTATTTTATTTTATTTTGCAAAATATTTCAAAAATTGGCTCAGGTCCTTGCATGTAAGTCTAAAGCTGCGTACCATATTTGGCAGGTTACTCTAGCCGGCAGTCATCTGCCAGGCGCTCGAAGTCACGCAATGGCTCGCGGCCGAATTCCAGGAAATCTAGATCTGGTTCCCGGAATGGCAGCAGATCAAGCGCAGTTTTGCCTCCAGTTGACAAAGTTGACCATCCAGTTAATTTCAGGCCATATAGTGGCACTGAGCGGCTGGTTAGCGTGCCAAAATCCATGGCTGTTCAACAGGTATCAGATGCCGAGGATGCAGCGGCTGCGGCATCTTTCGAGACGAGCTCCATGGAACCTATATTACCCGACGCCAAGGACGAGCAAGAGGAAGCGGGTCAGGTCGACCTCCAGGACTCTCTGCAAAGCACAAGTATGTTGACTGTACTATCTAGACCATTATCAGTAAAGGGCGAATATAGTTTAATCCCTTCATCAAATACGTGAGGAATCAGTAGTTTTTGTCGTTTATGTCAATGTTGGAGGCAGTGCTACGAACTATCCAGGTAGATTTGGTAGTTTTTAGGGCCTGTTTACATGACAAAAGCTTAGTCAGAATCATTAATGAGAACGTTAAGATCATGGCATATGAAATTAGAAGGAGCACCCGTCAGAGCTGCAAAAGGTAGCGGAACCTGGGGACTAGATTCGAAGAAAAATGTTTGGCTTGGCAGGAAATTTTCAGCAAAACCTGATAAAATAGAGCTGTTTTTTTTGCATTAACAAACATTTTTACTTGACTTTTTAGAGCAGATCACAAGTTTATGCAAATGTGGGCTTAATGTCTGCAGGTTGTCGACTGCATCGAATAAAGTTTTGGTCTTGTTTCCCAGGATCCCAGAAAGGAAACTATTTTCTCAGCTCTTGTGCCCGTTGTTTCTCAGACTGTCGCTCTTGTTCTCCGCAACTGTTTTGTTCTACCTCCTCTTTCCCTGTACCATATATGTTCACTGCAAAAGAAAGTCATCAAAGATGAAAATTTCCATGCAACCCTTATAAACAGGCTCTGCCCAGCATGTAAGCTGAGGAGGAGCTATGGTCATGAGACGCAAGCTACATGTAAACAGGCTCTACCTTCGTGTTGTTGTTGTAATCATCGTCATCTCATTAACTGTATTATTCAATCATTTTTTCTAATGATGTTACCAAATAAAGGATGGCTCAAGTCAAGTAGCTTTCATCTTCATGTTGGTGTGTGTTAGTTTACGGTGTTCCCCTGTTAGGCTTCGATTTCCCCCTGGTGTACAAGGCTTTTAGAGAGGTAATACACCAAGATTTTATTTGTATCATTGAAAGAATAAGGTTCTCCCTTTTGCCCGCCTACTACTTTTTTCTATAGATTTGAACAATTTCTATGGATAGAAGAACCGATTTTAACGGTCTCGATTTCCAGTTATGGCGGCTTACAGATTTGCTTTTGTAGCTGGTCTCATTTCCTGACACGCAACTTCTTGATATCGAAAATTCCTTTCCTTCAATCTAAAACTCCAATTTTCTTCCTTTTCATTGGCTAAAAACAACAGTTTTCTCCCAGCATTTATTAATCCTCTGAAAAAAGGTTCTTTCAAAATAGACAATTTAGCACTTAAGCTTACGATACTGAATTATCAGATGAAGTTTTCCAGCATGAATTCAACGTGTTTCTGTAAAAACAATACTCCCAGAGTCATGTCGAAAGCTTTCGCTTCTTCGCATCTGTTCACTTTCCTGGTTGTCATTTAGACATCATTAGAGGCTCATTATTAACCATTTCACATAGTAAATTAGTATTCTGCAGTATTTTGATCACCGCATTTTACCTCCATTGTTTTGGAATTTTGTCAATTTATTTTTAATCGGGTAATGATATTTCAAGTTGTTAAATTTTGTTATTTTATGAGTGAGAAATTATTTTGCAATTGAAATATATAATATATTTTTTGTATTTTTGATGGCCGAAGAATATACTAAAAATTTGAAAGGTGGAATTTTTCTGTCTTTCAGTCTGAGCAAGTTTTTAAATAACAGTGGTTGATTGGTGGTCAAAGCATAACAGAAGCACTTATAGTGATCTGCCTGTTTTGTTTTTGTTTGCTTGAGGTTTTGAAAGCATGTTTCCAGCACTCTCTATAAATTTTGATATTCAAATGGGCCTGTTTGCTATAGTTTGAGAGATTCCAATTTGGCATTTAGGGTGATCAACTATGAGTTTTAGGTTTGCTGTAATAAATTCTCTTATCGGTTAGTTCTCAAAGGCATGATCAGAGATGAATCGGAGCTAGAGACAGTGAAAAGGGACGATACTGTAGCAGAGCTGCCTCCGAACATGGATCTGTCTCTGCCTGGTACTCCGATGGGCAGCGATGTCAGCAATCAAAGTGCAAGCAGTATCAACACCCAGCGCACCACATCGACTACTGCAGGTTCTAGTAGCTCAATTTACATAACCCAAGCACAGGTTTCAACGCCATCCAATGTCAACATTGAAGAGGCTGAGGTGAGTTGCGACATCGTATCATCCTATCTTGGCTAGAAATTTCTCCTGTGATTTCAAGAACCTTTCTTTAAATCCTCTAGGCCTAATTTGCCATAGTCTTGCTCTAGTTAAACTCATTGTCAAGAACTCCAAAGCAATCACCCCGGGCTATGTAATGTCTTCAGAAGGAAACCCTTTACGACAGCAAAGTCACCATCACCTTTTTTGCCACTGCAGTTTTGCCTATGATTTTGTTATGAAAATCTGTTGGCCTAACTGGTTTAATACCGTTTAACAGATACTTTCCACGCTTTTCTCAGGATCATGTTTTGTGCTTCCTCAATCATCTATTGGTTAAAAAAGCCATTTTAATTAAACTTTATTCTTTGTCCGCCGACTACCTTAAATTCCCTTCATATATACAGCTCGTTCTTGCTCTCCAGTAATACCCATGCCAATTGCGCATTGTAATTCCTGATATATTGGATTTTCAAAAGTACAATCAATTTTGTCTTCCAAGCGTCCAAGAATAATCAAGGACGCTGTAGCCCCGATGTTTAATTCGTAATACAATTGGAGTAAACTAATTTTATTAAAAATCGAGTTGTAAAATGCTGGGAAATATTACGTTATCTGAAAAAACTTCGAAAACCATTAATCACTCATATGTGAATCAATTTTTGACAATGTTTTTGGGCCGTTAATGACGCTTTTTGGATGCCCTCTGTTTTTTGGGCGTTTTTAGAATATCCCGTGCCTCTATAACAATGCTGATATCGGTCTGCTTCATCAAACCAATTGAAAATAAATATCTTTCATGTTAAATAAAATGGTTTATCTGCATGCCTTCTTCCTCTTGTTTATGACAAGTTTCTTTCGGATAATTATATTTTAAGTTTATACTATTATTAAATAATTGCGGCTGTTTTATTTCAGGGCTAATGACCCACTTCAAGATACCAGTCCAGTAAAAGACCAAGTCGATTAGATTGTAAATCTGTGTAGACATTTGCCGGCTTTTCATAATTTTTTTACATCTTCTGGTAATCAAAGTAATTTCGTTTTTTTAATTACTTTAATTGTTTTTGTTTCTGTAAATTTTTATAATTGTGCACCCTCACTAAAACGAGAGTTGTAAGTGCCTGGTCAACTGATTTCAAACCGGTGTTTTATTGGAAATTCTTTTTTGGTGTTGGACGAGTTGTCTGTATGTATATATTGATAACCAATTGATAGATATTTCTAAACAAAGCCACTTCAGTGAAAGAATTCATCAAAAAATTAGACAAGTAAGACATAACAATTTTAACTTTTAGGCGTCCTCTTAACGATGATCACACAAGGCCATTCTTGATTCTTATGTTGAAGTAATACCCTTGTATCGGACCGTATACCTTTCCAGCTGTTCCTGTAAGTTCATAAGGGTTCCCTGTACCACACCCTTTCTGCCCCCATATCATCAAGTTAATTTAGCTTACATGTATTGAAACCCTAATTAATAGTCTTAACAGAAATAACAACAGTAGTTTTAAATTAACTTTTACAACTTTTTGTGTCATCCAGATTTTGTTTGTACGAAAATTCAAAACAAATTCAGAATTTCGGTAAGTTTCCAAAACAATAGCAGCTTTATTTTTTGTGCTCCTGTTGTTATCTCCTTTTTATTCAAATGGCTACCCCTTATGCCTTTTCATAATTTAACAGTTAAAACAGAAAAGTGCATTTTTTAACTGTATCGGCGTACATCGTCACATGCAATGAAAATTTCATCTACTGTACAACAGTGAGACCAGCCGAAGAGTTTTACTCCAAAAAATTTTGGGACAAAACCATTTGCCTATTGTTTTAAGGTATCCGCTTTTTGAGGGTGTCGGTTATTAATTGGAAGTTTCTTTGTACTATTTTGCAGATCTTTGACAGAATATTCTCATCAATCTGTTCTAGGTCGTGTATTTCTTATGTTTGGAATGTAACATGCATTTTATTGATTAAAATGTAGACCCGTGTACCTTTGAATATCTAGAACACAAAACTAGATATCAGTATCTCCAACTGATTAGTTCTTTAATGAAATGTTGGTTTGTACATTAGCGCAACGATTTCTGTATATAATTGTGACTTAATCTATGATGGCAGTGCTAGCTAACGAACATATAAAATTATATCTGGTAGCAATTGCAGTAGTTTTTTGCTGTGCGTATTCTCGAACTGTAATGCAATTTTATTTTATTGGTTCTCGCAAACGTCGTGATCGACATGCATGAATTTTATTGGTTCTCGCAAACATCGTGATCGACATGCATGAATTTTATTGGTTATCGCAAACATCGTGATCGACATGCATGAATTTTATTGGTTATCGCAAACATCGTGATCGACATGCATGAATTTTATTGGTTCTCGCAAATATCGTGATCGACATGCATGATTTCTTTAAGAGTATGGTTGCTAAAATTGCTATGGGGGCAAAATTGCTCTTGTGGCCATTACCTCTGTTTTGTAGTTGCCATGGTAACATATGATGTGCGAGGACATAAGATGATAGTTCTCGTTTTCTTAGCCATAGATATGCATTTCGTTACATTTAAAAATCGAATTAAATGAAAAACTTTAATTCATTAACTAACTTCGATCAAAACAGACACGCTGTTTCAAATAGGTGCGCGTGAATTTGCATGGCATGCATGCTGCTGTATACTGCCCGGTTGCAATCACACTTTTTGGAAAGAAGCTTCCACAAGCTTTTCATTTTCTTTAGGATCGTGAATTTGGATCGTGGCCAGAAAGGTCACCCCCTACTCTTTTTGCTCATTTCATATAGTGACTAAGCATTTCAAGGGCACTTCTTTGTTATGCAGTTGGCAAAAGGGCAACCCGGTAAACTGCAAAGGGGCATTTTTCCTGGACTATTTACAGGTGAGGGGAGGGTGCCATGTCCCCTGTACTCTCTGTTCCTACGTCTATGTTTTTAAGAAAAAATATTGGTAATAAGACATCTTTACCAAATAGTTATCTTCAAAAAACAGCCCAGCTAGTCCTTGCAACAAGCCAGGACTTTTAGCGCAAGTAGAGGTAAGCATGGGCCTTTTTGAAAAATGCCCCACCACTCAAAAATCCTTAAAAATGCCCTGCACTGAGATGAGAAACTCTTAAGAAAAATATCGGTAGCCTTTAACACTCAAGCAGAAAAACATTCAAACTGCCTCTACCCTACTTTATTCCAAGACTTTTGCTATTATTGTTTCTATCATTGACAGCTTGTGATAATGGAGAAGCTGATTTAATACTTTCTGTGCAATTTTTATTCGAGCCTAGGTTGGTTATGGAAGATGTTTTCAACGATAATGGACAGCCTATTTATTAAAACAATGGAAAGTCACTGGGCTTATAGGGGGAGATGCCCCTCTAATAAGGATGTTTAAAAAACCCTGATAGTGAAAATTCTCTTGAGTTTAATATGTACCCTCTTGGAAATAGAATTTCTATATTACCCCTATACTCATCTTTTTGTACGAAGCAAAGGTAAATTCTCACTGTTTTTTAGAGTTTTTTCATTAAAATGTCATAAATCATGATGTCATTTATCGAAATAATTTTAAAATTAGGTCCAATATTTAATATTTTGTGCAGGGAAGTTTTTAAGCGAAACTCGATCGGGGGAGGGGGGGGGGGATTTTTTCGCAACTGCCCAAATGAGGCTCGTCAATGTTTCGATTGTAATGATGTTTTATGTTTATTCTATGTGTCTAAGGTTTTATGCCAACCAGCCACATGAATTGGTGGATTTTCACAGAATTATGGAGTTTTGGGTTTTTCAAAATTATTTTGTTTTTTAATTGTTTTTCTTCAAGTCCTGAGGCTTTCCTTTATTTATCTTGATTGTCCTATACTAGTTTTTATAACGAGTAGCTTCTTATAAAAATGATGTATCCCTACGTTTCGATGTGATTCTTTTGACAGTGCATAAAACTTCAAGTCTGAATTAGTTTTTTTAAAATATTTGCGAAAACTGATAGAAAATTTGCCGCATTCCCACTAATTGAATGACAGAGTGGCAAAACAAAATAGATTTTTTTTAGAGTGCGAAAGAGGCCGCGTGGGGTTGAGGCTGCACGTTATGGACCGACGAAGCTGAGAAGGGGATAAACACACCAAAATGACAGACGAAAGATCTGTAAACTGGGCGTAAGTTTCTTTTGAAGACTTAATTATGAAATTGACAAGTATCATGAATTATCATGTTCAAATTTTGAAGCCCATTAGCAAGTTTCTGTGATAATTTGACGTTATTTGAAACGAACCAGAAGGCATGCACGCCTCCTCTCCTCTCATCTCACAAGAATTCAAATTCATTTTATATTAATTATTTAGCAGGGTCTTTATATTTTATTAAAGTCAAGGTATACAAAAAAATGTAAATTAGATAACGCTAAGAATTAGTGGATGGGTTTCTGTTATGTCCTTTTGGTCTTGCACACTTTTTTAAAACTGGAGGTTAATGTAAACCATTCAGAATTGATTTACATATACAAAGAAACTTAAGCTTTGCCAGGGTTGAATAGATGTACCGAAAATAAATCACCTTTGATACGAAATTTGTCCTAAATATTTTAGTGAAAGTAGTGGTTCCCATCACAAAATGTTCATGACCCATAATGTTATTCATGTTTGAGAGTCATAACTCTGTACAAAAACCATGGCAAAACCATGTTTAACAATGGTTGTACCATGGTCAGTCCATGTTTTTCAACCATGGTTAACCATGGTTTGGCACTGAAATGACCATGGTACAACCATGGTATACCATGAATGTTAAATGGAACCCATTGCCCAACCATGGTCTGACCATGGTCTGAACCTGGCTATACATCTGAAAAATAGAAGATATTAATCATTATCTAACAATTATGATTTATACTGATATAAAAGAGGCAGAAAATAGTTTTATTTTATTTGCTAGAGATACCCTTGAGAAAGAACATGACAGAACCATAAAGTATTTTCCCTCTTTACTTTTGAAAAGATTTATGGTTTGATAGTTCCACTAACTAACTTAATCTAACTTCATGAGACTTTTTTATTCTCAGTGACACAAGCCAGGCTTTATTTGTTTGTTTATTATGAGAGAACTGATGCTATCTAGTTTCTGTTTTATAGTGAGCTTATCCACCACAAGAGACTTGATTTATCAAAGAAGGATCTAACATCACTGAATGGAATAGGTGAGTTATTCTTATTTTCTACTTATTTTCTTATTTTGACAAGCTCAAAAGTAATTAATCTTGCAAGGAATTGGTGTGGTAGAGTTTTCAAAGGTTGGCAACAATTAAAATGGCAACATTAGCATTTTATGTGATGTTGTCTTAACTGAATTTACAATAAAGAGCTCTAGAAACAGAAATGGTGACATTGGATTTCACATTTAATATTGTTAAAAAGATTAACACAGATTTTATCTGAATGTAAAACAAAATGTCAAACAACATTTGTTTGTGTGAACAGGATGAATGGTTCACACACAAACTCCTTCTATATATTTTTGCCTGTTTCAAGCTCTTTCAAGTATGTTTGTAATTCAGTTTAAGAAATGTCAAAAGAATGTAACCAAATATCATCAAAAATCATCAAAAACAAAATTTGGTTTTTTTGCTTTTTAGATAGTAAAAACATGGCAAGTGCTCAGTCCATCAAGCTCTTAGAATTTTCTAGGCGCTTGCAGAGGTGCTTGATCAAGCTCCAGAGCCTATCCTTGCTTAAAGCATCTATAACCAATATAGACCACAAAATATTTAACCGTCAGTTACAACCTTGAAAAAATGTCTTGATCTTTAAAAGCCCTTTAATTTTACATTTCTTCAATTTTCTTCAGCTAAATGCAAGGAAGTAACTTGGCTAAAATTGTCCAATAATGCAATTGAGAGTTTGCAGTGTTTGAAAAGATTAAAGAACTTGGTTGGTAAGTCCACCAGTCTATGTGTTTGAAGTCACTTCAGAAGTAAAAGCATTTAAAAGTAATTTTTTATCACAGGCCACACTTTGTCTCTCCATGGTTAATGCCATATCAGACATTGATTTTCGGGAAAGGGATGAGTAGCTTCAATATGCCACCTGGTATTTACCTTAAGAAATAAAGAACTAATACCGTCTTGGCAATCTGATATCAGAGCCTTCCTAGTAATCTTATATTTAGGGTGTTTTAGGGCTTCCAATTGGATGGACACTATAGCGCTCGAAGACACAGCAGGGCATGAAAATCGCTCTTTTTCATCTTTTGAAATAAAGAATGATTTGCATCATCTGGAACACTTCGTAAATCCAGAAATCAGAATTAGATTGACTAGGTCAAAGAAAGGGGCAGGACTCTAGAGCGAGTTTTGAATATCTTCTTATAGCCAAATTTTGTTGTTGTTTGTCTTTATGAGACCAAAAATGCCCTATAAACATTTTGGTATTCTGGTTAAGTGTTTAAAGGAGAATAATGTGAAACTGATTGAAATAATGTGAATTTTTTAATCACATGTGTAACGTATCTTTCATGCTCGATTTGTAGCTCACATGAAATTTTGAATGTGAAAGGCCTTGTAATTCAAAGGTTGGAGGCTAATAATCACTCCCACAGTTTAGTGAAAAAATTTGAATTGAAATAACAGACAAGGAAATATAGCGGGGCTCTTGGAATAGCTTGCTGAAATGGAAATTTTTTGTGAAAATATGCTTGGCAGTTCAGTCTTTTTGATGACTGTACAAAGGTGAACAGCACTCTTGCAAATACCCCTACCTCAAATGACAGACTTTACCATTAGTATTCTGATTATGGGTTACGTGTTTTTTAATTTGTGACGCATTGTTTGTGCATGCAACACCATGGATTATCTTACCTTAGAATTAATTTTTATTTGTTTCTAGTGTTGAATGCAAGCAACAACAAAATATCAAAAATTCATCACATATTACACTTGCAAGGTAAAAAAATCAAACTTGAATTTTGTTAGACTATTAATGTAAGTCTTGAGTTTTGTAAATCTTTAAATGTTTCATTGGCATAAAATTCTAGGAAACATGAGCAGAATAACAATATTGGCTGATTTGTCAGAGTAAATCCAAAAATAGTATATTGTGTAGTTTATCTGTTTCATCTTAAATTGCTTTTAATGACTTTTTGTGGTATTGGAACTTATACATCCTTTTTATGCTTTTAAGCTTCATTGAGAGAGAACACATTACTGAGAGTGTAACATTTTAACTTCAGTTCCCTGAGTGTCAGAACTTTGCTTTGTTTTACTGATGACCTTTTTCCATTAGATTCTACAAGCCTAAAGGTGATGACTTTTTTAACTATAACAGTTAATCCTTCAATATGCATGAAGAAAATTTTCACTAAATATAGCAACAACAACATTTTATACAAAGTGAATTTAAGTTAGTAACTGGACTCCAAAATTTTCATATTTGAGAGTTTGGAATGACTTCTAACACATAAGAGTACAATTTTGATCGTTTGTTATTCATTTTATTTTTCTAGATCTCAAAGCTTTAATTTTGAACAACAACTGTCTGGCATCTGTTCAAGGAATAGAGAAACTGTCATGTCTAAATGCACTTGGTGAGTACCTAGAATTTAGTATGTCAAGTCAAATAAAAAGTGTTTGAAATTATACCTCTGTGAAATTATAGAAACAACTTATGTATGTTCTCTTGGAATTATCAAGTCAAACTATTGTTAATTTGTATGAAAAGTTATTCGACTTATTCCATTATTCCTCTTTCTAATACTTCAGCTGGGGTTTTTTTCTAGCAGAAGGTCTACCGCCTAAAACAAATAGATGTTACTTGGGCTAGAGGGGCCATGGCACCCATAGCTAGCTAATACATTAAGAAAGCACAAATTTTATTTGAATTCTAGCTTTCCTTTGTGAAATTATCATTTACTTAATATGAATTTTCTTTCTCTTTTAGTTTTATCGCAGAATAAGATAGAGTCTATTGATATTTCCAGCCTAACAAACATTTCAAAGTTGTCCTTGTCACATAACCAGTTTAAGGAGGTGCCTGACCTTCAGGTATGTTGTAATTCAGTATTTGTAACAGAAAAAGGAGGCCGGAGCCCCCCCACCCCACAACAATTTCCAAACTGTACTATGTTTCCTTTATAAGGATGTACTGAAAAGGAAGCAATACAATCGGCAGCTGCCAGTATATGAATTTTGTTGTGACAGCATTGGCTTGGAAGGGAGGCAGTTTGCTCAGTATGCAGTTCAGTTTTCATAAGAAGTGCGGTTTAGATTTCCTTTAGTTGATCCTCTTTTACCATTTAGTAATTCAGCAAAGTATGGGAAAGCAGGAAAATTCTGCTTACATGCTATAGTTAGCTTTATTTCACACAAAAAGAAAAATTATAGATGATGATCAAAATGTGACCAAAATACCCAGGTAACAAATGCCACAGACTATATTTGGCAAGAATAATGCAATCGAAGTTATAAATTGTCAGTATTCAGAACAATCACCCTTCCCACCCTTATTTTTCTAAAATTTCTTAATTTTTTTCATAACACTTTAAGAAATAGAGGGAAATCATTAAGCATGATACTTTTAGTCAGGCCTGGCCATTTGAGGCGAGCCATAGCTCTTGCTCCCTTCCAGGCTCTCCTCAAATGCTGGAAGGGAGCTGCAGATTGCTCTTCTAAATTTACTCTAAATTTGCTCTAAAAAGCTCTCCTTGAAATCTCCTTGAAATCAATTTTTCTTTTGTTTGTATTCTTATGTATCTAGAAATAGCTCACCTGGAGATTACTTGGAGAGCTGTTTACTGCTCCCCTGCTTAAAGTCTTATGACCAGGCCTGTTTTAGTTTTATTCCTTTAAACTTTCATTTCAGAATCTTTCCAACCTCAAAGAGTTGCGAATGAATGATAACCAAATAGAGGATATTCCAGCATCCATATGTCACTGCAAAAGGTGAGCCCATTTTGAGCATATTCACTTTTTGTGCTCTTCCATTGTTAGAACTCAAATTGATGCTTTTTGCAAGACTTAATGAAGAATAATCTGTCCTTAAATGTAAGCCCAGCCTAATTTTAATTGATTCAGCTCATTAGCAAATTTACTGGTAAAATTCAAAGGAGGATTTTTATTATTCATTTTCATGGAATTTCATTAAATACAGAGCAAATTGAAAAATCATTTGAAAAAATTGAAAAAAGTAAAAATTATTTGGAATTAAGCTGATAAGAGATAAAAGAAAAAACAATGAAATTGGTCAAAATACTACAGTTCTGCTACAAAATCAAATCTTCATTGTATGGCCCAAAGCTGTTGTCTCCTTAAATATATCACAGTCAAATCCCGGCTTTTTATTTTGTCTAGAATATTGTCCTGGGAAAAGGAAGTTACGAATGTCCATCAGGAATTTCCACTTTTTTCAATCAAGGAGATGATGTCACCATGAAAAGAAATTGTAGGTGTTTGTGATGGCCTACTCAGTTGTATGCAACTGCTGGGCGTATTTTATAATTGTGGATCCAATCATTTTTTTCAACATGGTTAACTCCACAATCATCCTTTTACAACTACTAGTGTTGATCGTCTGTTGTCAGTTTTATTTTAAACTTTTGCTTATTTTTCAGCTTGAAACTTGCTGATTTTGGAAACAACAGAATTAGTTCTTTTGGGTAAGATCAGATTATAATTCTCAAGTGTTGTTTTTGTTTGTTTCGGTGATTTTAGGAGTTGTAACAAGGTCCTCTATTCTCGGCCTGTCGTTTCTAACCCTTGCTTGAAGTTCATTGTTTTTGGTAGCTAGTGATGCTCAAAATTATTTGATTTGCTATTAGGCTGTCATGGAAAGTGGGGTTGCATCATAAAAACTATATGGCTTACATTTACCCGTTCATTGAAAGAAGGGTTGTTAAACACACGCATAAATTATCCCTGACATTGAAATTCAATCCATTTGTTCGTCTTTAGACACTTCTATCCATGCTTCTTTCGACACTATTATCTTCCATTGATCGATTTCAGTTTCCTGGAAAAGCTCAGCAAGACTGGAATCGAAAACCTGAACTTGAAAGGGAATCTTCATTGATCGATTTCCCTGGAAAAGCTCAGCAAGACTGGAATCGAAAACCTGAACTTGAAAGGGAATCCAATATCCAGCTCACCTGATTACAAGGAGAGGGTAATACTTTTATTTCCTTTTCATTGTTTATCTTTAATAAGATGCTAACATTACCCCGTCATTTGTGAAAAACACAGAAAGAGGAAACAGTCAGCCTTACAAGATGTTGATCAGTTGTATAATCCTATTGATCTTTCCCCATACAGTGATTCGGCTACAAAAGCTCAAAACGTCCTGAGTTAGTGCTATGATGAAAAGTCGCACCCCTTTAAAAAAACTCATGGTTACACTACTGTTGTTGGAGGCTTTGAAACCCGCCTTACAGATTGAAAGGCGATGTCAAAATGCACAAGATGATTTAATGCTGATTAGTTTTGTGGACTAGATCCACGTGTCGCTAAAATTTATTTTCACAGTATTGGAATATGTTTGTAAAGATTTGAAGGCATGTAAAATTTCTACCATTGTTTAGTTATAATTTTACTCAATCTCAACTTCTTTTTAAGGTCGTAAGCGCGTTGTCGAGTCTCAAGATTCTAGATGGACGACGCCTTGAGCAAAGAGGTATGCATCAAAAGTTATTATATTTTGAACTCCTTATTGATTCATATTTACGTTAACGATTTTTCGTGATGTTAGTATATGTTTAGCTGTATTCAAGGGGAGTGGAGGCAGATCTCTCTGGTTTAGCCAAAGTCTTTGAATTTCGAATTTGTTGTAATACATTAGAATTTGAGGCAGAATTTTCTGATTATAGCAGCTGGAGAGGCCTTGAATGTGTCAGATAATACGAGCATTGTGGGGGAAAATACTCCAGATGAAAGCAAGCGTTTGGAGACCAAGAAACAGGAGACGGAGAGAGAACAACAGGGTGTAAAATCGAAAAAAGTTGGAGGTTTCGTTTCAAGATTTAGGGATACAAAAGAAGTTGAGAATTCTGTGGCATGCGAAGTAGATAAAAAACTAAAAACTGCTAAGCAAAAACGCAGGAAATTAGATAAAGAAAAAAGGGAACTGAATAAAGACCTTGAAGCTGGAGGAGTTAAGATTGATGATGGCAGGAGTGGTAATAAAAAGAAAAAAAAGTTTGGTGAAAATGAAAATAGTGGTAGAGGAAATACCGAAAAAGATGGGGCCACAGAGGTTGGAAAGTGCATTGAAAGTGGTGAAAACAAAGATGGTACTTTGGGAGATGTTGATGCGAGTTTCGAAAAGGTGAAACAGGGGAAAAGAAAACTGGATAGTAATGAAAATCGACAAAAAATGAAGAGAGGTAAAAAGAAAAGAGTTGAAACGGAAATTGATACTGAAACGAAAGAGAAAGTCAAGGTATTCGAGGAAAGTGAAGATGCTTTGGGTTCAGTGAAACAAATGTTGTCTAGTGAAGAAGCGAAAAAACTATCCGAAAAAATTGCTAAGGGAGGATTAAATGCAAAAGATAAGAAAACAAAGAAAAAGAAACTGAAAATTGAAGAAAATTCAAAACGGAAAGAAAAGGGTGTTAAGAAGGCAAAAACTCATGTTGATAAACGGTCTGGGGTCGTTTCTGTAGAAATAGTTAGGCCTGTTTCAAGGAAGATGAAAACAAATGTCGTCATAGATACTAAGGGGAATTACGATTTCGGTGCAGGAGAAAGCGAGGGGTGGTAGATAAGGGGGTGGGGGTTTCAACTGAATTAGCCGATTGTTCGTAAATCATAGTGCGAAAGTTTCTCTGTTACTAATAGATTTTATGACGTTATTTTATTTTTCATGAGTAATTTTGTCCTAGTTGTTAAGTTTCTTGAAACGAAAAGACTTTTCCGTGTTGAGGCACAATTCGACGTGCTTCACAGTTACGGCATCATGAAAATATAACATTTCTTAGAAGGTTCACAAGAAAATAACATTTTCAACATGACATGTTCAACAGTTGCTATTCAAATTTACGCAAAAATCAACAATATTGTTTTTTAAATAGTTTTACTTATTAACGACTGAAATGTACTGATAGTGCAGCGTGTATTCAAAATATATGCTATTAGCTTTGTTTCGGTAGTCCGCACATTTCACACGAGTCTCCGCTTGATCTGTTAATGAAGGTACAATGAGAACAGGTCCATGAGGGTTCCTCTGATTGATCGGTGTCCATCAGCTCTACGGAGCCAGTGCTATTTGTCGGACTATGACTAAACTTTGCGCCACTTTCTTGCGTGGGTGAGAATGAAGCTGCATGGCAAAGAAGAAAAAGTTCAAATGTTATGGCTTCTTTGTCGGAGTTCTTTAATGCTGTTTTGACCATAGGGTTAATGGGGTGTTATGAACTAGAATGTCATTTGGAGCCCAAAATACATCAAACAAATACAACGCAAGACAATCCAACACAACACAACACAACACAACACAACACAACACAACACAACACAACACAACACAACACAACACAACACAAACACAACACAACACAACACAACACAACACAACACAACACAACACAACACAACACAACATTTTATTAATGACACAAAACCCGAGAACCTAGAATCTACATAAACAAAAAAAGTAACCCACGGCTTCAAACAAGAAGTTTCTTTTATTGGTCTCAACGCACTTTGAAAGTCCGCCAAAATTAAAATATTTCCGAATCTCCATTATAACCTCGGGTTGAATTTTTTAAAAACTAGTCCAACAACTTCCTATATACAAAAAACCGGAAATTTTATGTTTTCATAAAATAGATATTAAACACATTAGCAATAAGAAACTTGAATCTAATTGAATTTTATTTTCCAATAAAAATAAATCAAGTTTTTAAAACTAGAGATTTTATCACAAGGCGTAAAACCCCACTTCCGAATTCGTAAAGGCAGGTTGAGTGAACGCCAATTTAGTTCGAGTCTCAGTATTGATCTAAACTATAAAGAACTGTGAAATTTTGTTTTGTATTAAACTGTTTAGTGAATATAAGGTAGTTTGTAATCTGTTATTTTAAAATATAAGGTAGTCCCTCCTCTGATATTTCAGAATATGAACTGAAACTGACTGAAACTGGAACTGAAACAACACCGGACTGGATTAATTTTAATCTGCTTATCATTTTGGCTCCGGGGATCTTGTGAACATTTATTTTAAAATCATTCTTCAAAGAGAACTGACCGTGCGCAGCAATTATCTGCATCACAGTGGCCCACTCTTCTGATTTAGTGAAATGGTGAAAAGCGTCTTCGTTCTTGTTCTTCAGCGCTTTACAAAGCTCGGCGACGCGTTCCTGAAAGAAAACCAACATGAAATATAAGCATGTTAATTCCATCATTATTCAACCCTTCTATCATCCTCATCATATCTGTGAGAACTCAAATGTTTTAAAGTTTATTCCTGGTTTACAAATTGAAATTTGCCGTAACTATTTTCTGAAAAGTTTACTCTTGCCTGATTCCTATCCACCTCTCGAGGAGATAATTGGGATCCCCATACATTAAGATTTCTGTACAAGTATCTAAACACTCAATGGATCCAATATATTCTCATTTTCCCCTTAACTTCTCTTTTGAAATTTTCACCCCGTATAATTTTACACCCAACTTTTGGAAGATATTTCCTACATTTCAATTTGGACATGGAACATCCTGTAGCATTAGTATCATTATGTGAGCTTATTTGTCCAACTGTTACCTGAGCTTGAAAAGAATGAAGCCCAACTAACGAGTCAAAATTAACCAGAAATGTAATAGTCAAATTTGGCTAAACCATAAAAAAAATCTAACTTCGATCTATTTCCTAAAATGCTTTTTGGAAAAAGAAACCAGAGCAAAACAGATGATATTTTTTTGCGTTTGGAAATCATCTTCCATCTCCATCTTTTTGTGAAATAAAATTTCCAATTCAATCGCCTGCCCATCTCTCCGACCCCATACTTTTGAATATCGTTTCATGTATTTGTATCGTAAATCGATGATTACTTTCTCAAATAAAAAGCCATTACACACGGGCTCACCCCCTTCATCACACAACTGTAGCTCGTAGTATTATGCGTAATATAGGACAAGTGAGGATAGAACGATATAAGGCATGCATAGGATTAATTGCCTCACCTTCAAAGGCAGCATTTCTGTAGTAGCAAGGAACACAAGAAGATGGAAATCCATTAAGGCTGTTGTGATTTCGGAGGCTGGGAACTTCTCGATGTATTTCATAAACGTGTTCATGTCCTAAAATAAAAAATAAGGTACTTGAGAAAAATGACACCTTTTTCAGTGCTAAAAAGCATCGTGTTGAATGTCGTGTACAGTGGGAAGGATCTAAACGGTCATGGGCTACGAGTCTAATAATCTGAATCCCCCTATCAAATACTCGATGGTAAAGAAAGGGCTAATTGAGAGAGGGCTTATTCGAGGAGGGGGAGGCTCAATCATGCCTGTGAAGATTTGAATCTTACTTAGTCACCTAAATGTACAATTGGTCGGAAAAAGTCTTTCTGTCCTTGGGCTAGCTTACTTCATGGAGCGAAACACCCGCGGATCGCAAATTTAGGACGGTTTCTGTCGTCTTGAATCTGTTGAAAATAATCTGGTTTGTCTAAATCTGAAATTTTTGTTTCATTAGTCATTTATCAAGTTAACTCTAATCTAATGTCGTGGAGAGACGAGCAACTCCCGTTATGCAGTCATTTGCGGTGAACTAAGACTACTGCCAAGCATGCCAAATGGCTGCAAGGACTGCGGTTAACTCAGTAACTGGATCGTCTCTCCAAGAAGTTCGTGGGCACGTGACATAAACTTCAAAGTGCTTGAGGATGTAGTCCAATGATATCATTGCCCGCCCTCTATATCATTGATGTAGCCTACCTTTGGTCAACACGAGGTGGATCACATTGTCTGCCTCCATTTGAAATTGCAAATATCCTCTTTAAGACTTGAAACAATTCACTCTCGAGCAAAGAAGAAAAATCCTAAGAACAAATACCTGCTTTTGTCCCAGGGCTTCTCGGTTCTCGATAAAAAACGGATGTTTCTTTTCAGGGAAGGTGAAATTAGGCGACAGAGGAAATGCAGCCGGTACCTGGAGCGAAATTTAATATCATTATTTTGAAGCCAATCTTTAAAAGTCTTAACAGTTAAGTTTCCCTGTTCGCCCTGGGTTCGGCGAAAGCGAATCAATGAAGAAGCGAATCAACGAAGAAGCGAATCAGCGAACGAAACTTGTCGCTCAGTAGCTCAACGGAGTTTAACTGTAAGAAAAAGGAACTAAATAGATAAACTTTGCGCGTGCTCATTCGCTCAAAGACGAGAAAATTAAGTGGATTCAAGCCTTACGGTCATGTAAATAGGTTGTATTTTACGAGAATGCTTAAAGGGATATTCGACTACCCCTGTTTTAAAGTGAATCTTTTCAAGCGATTTTCAAGTCTTTTCAATCTTATTACCATCTTTCTCTCTCTTTGGCCGCTTGAATGAAGCCAATTTTCCCGAGTTCACTGATCAAGCCATGGAAGGATCTTTATATTTCCTTAGTTGGATTATTTGCCTATCTTATAACAAACAAACGTGCGAAGCGTTGTTATTCTGGACCATTGACATAAAAAGTGGACCCGTTTCTAATTCAGGGCTTCTTATTAGGTTTTGATAAGAACATTCTACTTTCAATCGAGAAATAGACTTACAGACTGCAGACTTACAGACCTCAATCGAGAAAGCATCATTGGAAAACCATTTCTGCAAAACCTACACTACCGAGTATTTGCAGACAACAATTGAAAAGTGTCAAGTTTGACTTGAAACGAATCGAGAAAATACTTAATGACGTCATCCATCGTACCTCTATTAGGAAAAACTCTATTGGCATTGGTCTTGCTACTTTCGTCACCTCATTTTTGTATGTATCAATCACCTGACAAGATCAAAGCAAATAAAGAGACTTCAATTCAAAATCAAGGAAATTTGCAGTAAAAGAAAAAGTTTCACGCCATTTGTGTCCTGCAATTCAAGACAGGTGTAAACCAGAAGACGGCAAAAACAAACACCACATAAGTTTGGAAGACTTGTGTTTGGAAAGTGAACAATAAAAAATCTTCTGATAAACAAGATATGGATCAAAAGTCAGAAGCAAAATGGGTGTAACGATTGCACAGTACATTTAAATGGTTTTATAAAATATGAAGAAAAACTGGATGATAACGATCAATGAGGGGGGATATCATAATAGCATGGAGGCCGTTTATAGGTTCAAACAAAGAAAAGAAGCGAGGAGTTTTATGGCAATGTAATTCAACGGTTGTGCTATAAAAACTGTTATCTGAATGGTTTCACCAACTGATAAATTAGCTCATGAAGTACCTTGTAGAAGACGTCAGGAACATACTGGCTACTTGACGATTCCTTTACATAACCAAGCGAAGAGTCATCTAATGTTGGTACTAAACAATCATCTCTCACAAGTGCCATGCACTGATTTGATACCTGTTGGGAAAACAAACATACACAGGGGTGACCTAAGTTGTGCCAGCAGGCAGGAATGGGCGAACACGTGTCTAGACGAACACGTGACTATATATAGAACTATGTTTGCATCGGCTAAAAAATTCTGACCTCAGGTTTGTTTGTACATTGACGAATATAATTTCAGTTCCAAGCTTTGGAGTCACTGTACATTGCTATCCAGTTATGGGTTCACTTTACCCTGGGTTACAAAGTGTGACTGTGAAACCCCGTTTCGAAAAACTCGAGTTGTATAAGGGATTTTGAAATGAGTAAATGGTAATTTCCACACTGTCTCGACCAAATCTTGGTGGGGTTTCAGGTTATTCCTGCTTTTGGCTGTCCAATGATAACCCACTAGAAAATATTTTTTTTTGGGTGACCTAGTAGAACCAAGTTGGGATCTTCATTCTATTTCAAGTGGTCACAAAATCAGCCAAGGCCAATTAATGGATTCCGTTTTGGAGATTGGTCATAGATAAACCAGGAGAGGTCGCACAACACTTAAGATAACCCAGCAGAGGTCGAACGACACTTATCGTCCACTCCTTTTTTATTCTTTGTTCAAATCTCTTTATTATTGGTTTTCAGACTTTTGAGATAAACATCAAATACTTAGAAGATTGCCTACAATAGGGTTTTGATTGAAAAGAATCGAGTAGAAATGTTGCGCCAAGATTGAACTGTGAAGTGATTGTAATTCTGTTGGGAATGTGAATATTTGTGTGTACCTGCCAGCCATCAAAATGTATATGATTCTCTTCATTGCCTGAAATGTAAAATATTGTTCATTGAATTGCCATGGAAAAGACTCAATGTTCTCAATAAAATCTACAGCTGAACATCAGCAAACATTGCCCCTGCCAAAATGGTTGGCTGCTTTTTCTGAATTTCTAGAGGCAAACTCTGTTGTGCAACCAGCTAGAAAATTCCATAAATAAATACCAACGAAAACTTTGACGAGCCAGCAAAGGACTAGAAAGGGGTTTCTAAAATGCATTTTACCGAACATTTCTGCTCTAGTGTTGTTGTACCCCAAATTTTTGAGAGCTGGCCCCACCGCTTGAATTAGAAAAACCTACTGATTATAAAAAGAGCGGCAGCCATTCAAAACACATACCTGATACAACAACGGTAACAAACTTTGATCCAAACTTGCTGTTCGATGAAAGCTTGCAAATATTAGGATTTTGGGTTTGGAAATCAGCTGCTATGATGGTTTCCTGGGCACTTAAGAAATGTGTTCCAATGTGCCGTAAATGTTTAACTGTGCCATTTTTGGTTTCATCGGCTATGAGATCCGTAAATATGCATCCAACCTGAGGAATTCAAGAGAAGGAGTGAAACACCTTTAAGGGAAGAAGCACCTTTAAGGGAAGAAGCACCTTTAAGACACGAAGCTTAGGCTGGAAATAGATGAAAGAAATGTCCTGTATTTAGAAGCGTCTTCATTTGTTGTTCTGGGATGTGAAGAAGCAGACGTTTCACCAATTTTAATGCAAGGGTGATATTACTTTGTTTATACTGAAAATTGTGAGACGTGTGTTGTTGGAAGGTTTCTTGACTGCTGGTACAAATTTTCTGCACTCCAATGAGATTTGTTTATTGAGCGAATTTGCGAAGAAAACTTTAGGAAACCAACTGCGTGGGGACGTGCGGGATCGAGTCATCAAAAAAATTTAGGGGAGGCTCAACTGCTCCTTGCAGTCTATAAATCAGAAAAGGTTCTTTTGGGTCAGCAAAAGGAGGGTCTTAAAACTTGCTTAGACCGAAAGGCTACATTAACATTTGGCGAATGAGGGAACACCTTGATATAGCATTTTTTTCGTTTCGAATTTTGAGCATTAAACGTCGGCGCATATGAAGACAACTATGCTAGAAAGACAGTGAAGGATAAAATGCAGGCAAGATATGTCGTCTAAGATTGCAATGCAGAATTTTAAGCAGTTCAGCAGACCACAACAGAATGAAACTGAAATAGAATTTTCAAATAGAGCAAATGAAGATGTTGATTATTATGAAAACAGAAAACACGAAACTGATGCTAAACCTATAATGTTTGATGTGCACTTCACGGCAGTTGTTGTATACCACCCAGGTCTTGAGCGCTGCTGGTCCTGGACTACAAAGTGGCCTATAAAACTACCTGTGTTTATTTATACCTATCTAGTACTAGTATCTATCTCTTGCGTTGCGTTGGTTGATCTGCCTGTCAATTTTATGTTCGATTTGTATATCGTTAATTTAACGGCATTCGTGGAGTTGTTTTCTAGAATATGTTACTTGTTTAGTGAGTTCAAGTAAAGTATTCTGTATCTGTCAGTTCTTTTCCTCTGTCCTCCTCCATTTTTCTATACCTGCAACAACACTGAGACGTAACATACCTTTCTCAGTCCTAAGTCTGCAGCCACCCTGTCCACAACCTCGGCATTGGGATCGTCTTTAAATTCAATAGTATCTCTGGTACTTTCCTTAACAAAAAAGAGAAAATATTTTGACTAAAATTCATTGCAAATCGAATCTATTCTAGAACAACCTCGTTAGCTGTTTCATGGATGTCGCTTTATGCTGAGGTTAGTGGCTTTTCTACTCAACTTGATGTTAGGCCTAAGGTTAAAAACGCGCACTTCTGCGGTTTGCTGGATGATAGAAAATCCTGTCAAGCAAGAAGTATTGTCCGTTCTTTTTAATTTCAAACAGGCAAATGCACTCCCCTGTTATTTACTATTTTGATCTATAATTAGCAGTTTTGTCAAAATTATCGCAAACGGGCCGGCTGCACCGCAAGACATCCATTAGAGGGTCCAATTCCATTACTGGGAACTAAGCCTAATTTTGGACGGGGACGTGCCATTTTGGTTCAAAATTTGGACCCATAATTCCTCACATGTCTGAAAAATGTGACCCATAATCATCCTTTGCATTTTTATTGGATATTCATTTTGTGATTGGTTCATTTCTCTCCTAATAATTTTGAAATATTTTCCTTAAATGGTGCCCATAATTCTGCATGTTTCTTCCAATGCAAATGGTACCCATAATTCCGCACATTTTTCAAAAACTGATGACGATAAATCTGCACTTTTCAGAAAAAGTACCCCTAAATGACGACACGTCACCGTACCTCATACGTATTAATGTAACCCCCCCTCCCTCCAAGGGATAATCGTAGCAACAGCCATATTTTACAAAGTATTTTACTTATACAACTTAGGTCTTTTGGGGGCCCCCGGTATCTCGTTCCTTGGATCATTCAAAACTAATGACTTATAATGGCTTAGGGGAGTCCGGTAAAGTAGATTCGAAAGCAAGCCATTTCCTGAGATAATTTCAGTGGCGGTCTTATCCTTATGTCAGTGCACGCGATAAAGCAGTCAGAAATCTTTAATTCAGAATGGACTTGAGGCGTTATTAACCTTAGCTGAACGATAAAAGGAACCCCCAGAGTTGTTTTAACATGTGTGAACGACTGTGCTTACAGAGAAAGCTGTTGGACGCAATTCAACTTGAAAAAACATGAAAAACGATCTGTGTTGTTTCTTCTGCATGTCTATAGAGGAAGGAACAAGTTTCCTTTCCTTTTCCTTTTATAGAACAGGCCACTTCATTTTCTAGAAGTCTGAGGCAGATTTGTCACAGTAAACAACATAGATTCACATAATCTGATTGAACTTAAATTTAAAGAATATAAAATGCATATGAAAACTAACCGACACAGCCTTACCTGTGGAGGCTCATAGATAACAGATACAGTTGCTCGTATGCCAAGTGGAACATTGTCATGCTTCTCATAAGAACCATAGAGAATGCCAAACCTCTAAATATCAGATCAAATTATAAATTGTCTTCTGCTATGATGAGTCAACACAGAAATTACAGCCAAAAACAGGCATTTTCAATCATTCAATACTTAAGTCTCTTTCTTGGTTTTAGTTCTAAGAATCATTGAATTTACCAAAATCATGTTTCATCAAAGGACAGATGATTTGTAATGAAACTTTAATTACAACAACCTCACACAAATCAACTCTTCAACATAGTTTTCAAACAGTTTGATGTGTCAAATTTCTAGCTTTATTGTACTTGCACTGGTTGTGCTACCTTTGCAGTTGTCTTAGCTTCAAGACGTGCTGCAGCAATGAATCCAGATAAATACGATTTTAAGTTATAATAATTTATGTGAAGAATTCATCAAAAACTGGGCCATAAAAATGCTTGAGCTGGTCTTGGGTAGAAAATAAAATAGACTCCTGTATAAAATGCTGAATACAATACATAAATTTTGAAGATTACTCATAAAAAATCTATATTTTTTTTACCTGATAACCAGTTTTTCTCCAGTAGTTCAAAAATCTATCCACAATCACAGAATTTTCAAACATGATGTTGTCTACATGTCTGTATGGCTGCAAAGGGCAAAATAGGAAACTGTTGTTACTTAAAGCAGTATTCAAAACAAAACTTATATACTGCAAAAGTTTAATTGCACAAAAAAGCCAGTCACATTACATGGTTTATTGGATGAGAAGTAAATGACTGATTTTTGGCACAGATAAGCCCCTCTGTGAAGATTTTAGCAAATATGTGGCAGATCACGTGCCTTAAAGCAAAATTTTTCATGGAGGAGCTCAATTCACAGCTTCCAGTTTTAATTGTCATAGTAAAACTCTATTGTCAGTTCTATTTAATCATACAGCTTCTCCTTGCTATTTCTTAAGCTTTGTGGTACCAAAGGCTCATATAAAACTTGTCTTTCAATTGTTATATACGACCACAAAAGAAACTTATTATTCTGATCTTAACATGAATTTGTATCAGTCCTGTACTGAACAAGGGTAGCTGTAATATAAACACATTTTTCAATGTAAAATTACTTTCCATCGTTTAACATGCATATTGCATCATGTGATTTCCTAAGTGGTCAGGGCTGTAATTTAAAAATGTTTTCCGGGACAGCAAGACAAAGTTTCTGACAAAAAAGTAATCTTTACATAATGCAAATGGCTGAGGCGAGTAATATCGCTACTTTTTGAGTAGCAGATGCGTGACCTTAGTTTGAGGCACATTGTTGCAAATTTTGTCACACACCTGCTAAGGGTGCCCACAGAAAGCTGGCATAGATCTACATTTGCTCTACGGCCCAAAGTGACCAATTGCAGTAGAAAGTATTCATCACTCAGTATAATTTATATACAGGGATGGACACTTGGTCAAATATTGGGGGGGGGGGCAAGTCCCATTGTTTTATAACAAAATACCATTGTCTTCTAAAGTATTGGAAGGGGGGCGGTTGTCTTCCCTTGCCCCCAGGTGTCCACCATTGTTTATATATTGGGTTAACTGATATGTTTTATTTTTTATTATCACACTGAAAATACTCTAAGATCCTGAAATCTAGCCCTCCCCCCTAATAAAAAAAAATTTACCTGTCTCTGTAGTGTAATGGCACTTGGTTGACATTTTGTACAAATTCCTTTTGGCCATGGTGGATGCTCAGTGCACCCAGGCTTTATCCTGCAACTTATATCTTCTAAAGACGCAAATTTTCCTCTGAAGGAAAAAAGTGCATCTGAAATCAGGACACATGTTACATTATATAGTATCTAAACAGGGGACATTCCCTTGAACATGGGACTGGGATGTCAAACTTGTTTTGCGGATAAATCTTGATTTCAAAATCATTTCAGTAACAAAAAAATACTATTTCATTATATTATGGAAATGACATCTTCATGGGCTGTTCCCCACACTGGATATTGTAGCAAAAAATTATTTTCAAAATAGCATTATTCAACCAATTATTTTGGGGTTATGAGAAAAATGCTGACATTTATTGAATTAAGTGTTATTTGATTAGGTGTAGATAAACCAGGGAAATCAAGCAAGTTGATGTAATGTAAAATGTCTTCAGATATGACAAAGAAGAGTACCAATACTACTAGGGGAACTGTATCAAAAATTGTCAAGTTTGCCAACTCCAATAAGGTGCAAACTAAGAGAGGGGAATTAATTGAAAATCTTTATATAAGCTATAGAAGTATGTTAATAACTTTTTAGAGGTCACAAGGACCTTGACAAGATGTCAAATATTAATGATTAAAGAACCACACTTTTGGTGTTTCTTGTAGAATATGTAATGTATGGGTATTGTCAGAAGACATTTTAAAGGGAAACAGTTTTACACATGCATTGCATAATAAATAATTAAGGGGAACCAACCTACTAGCTCCACTTCTTAGTTTCTTTATGTATGCATGGAATGCCATGTGTTTGACAGGTGGATTCAATGTTTTTAAATACTCTTCATCATACGGCTGTAAAAGGGACAAATAGAATGATTACAACTGAACAATAATTTAAACATTTTATTTTAGTACCTCTGAAACATTTAGTCATTGTACTCAGTTCATTGTCAAATGGATCTGTATGAAGTAATGTGTGACTTTGAAATACCATTGTGTGCAAAAAGCCTAGGTGTATCCTCTCAAAACACTAAAATTGATGTGAGCATGAAGCTAAACTTCTGCACCTTAAATCTAAGGACATCCTGTATTCCCAGGTGGGTTCTATGGATATATGTTCTTTGCCAAATTCTGCTTCTATTCACGGACTGGCTGCTAATCAAGGGCTGCTGCTGGAACTGAAATTTTTCAGTCACTTTTACTATCAGTTGACACCAGCTCAAGCTATTCATAAATTCTCAGACGTACATATTCATAAATAGAGCCTATAGGTTTCATACCTCCAATGGTGAGCAATGTAAGCATTTCCCGTGTGGACCATGGTGACATCTAGAAGATAAATATATATACATATTTATTTAATTACCCTATCTGGTGTAAAGAACAGGGTTGTTTTTAGTTACTACTCTGAGTTTCAAGTTTTATGCCAACATCAGGCATCATGTTTTTAGTGACAATAGGTTATTGACTTGATGACATATTGCAATTGATGGTAAACATCGTTGCAAATTGTATCAAACTTTGGCATTGATTTCAACTTACAGTTGCGGATCTCGATTTCTGTGAACAATTCCTTCTTCCTTTGATAATGTTACATCTATTTCGTCTTCAAAAACCCAATCGTCTGAGCTTTCTTGTGTTGTTGCTGGTTGCACCTCTTCTTTCACAAACAACATATCTCCATGCCTGAAAGAGATGACAAAACCAATGACAACTTTAAGTGTTTTCTTTTTTTCCTATGTTTTTCAATAAATACCTGACATACATGCTATAGAGTTAAAAGTTAAGTGTGGAGAACTGGATGGTTCTGAAATGCTTATCAAAACTTTATGCTTGACCCAGTTGTACTCTGCTTTCAAGGCATCGAGCACAATGTAGTCAATTACTTTTTATACAACACTAACTTTGTGGGTTGGGCCGGAATCCGTAAAGTAGCAAGAGCTCATTTACTTTCCATTATCGTAATGCCCCCTGTCCCCTGGAATGCCTTTACATAATTCAAATGGAGAATTTTCAAGCATGTGTGTGCACTGTTCATTATCAAACCCTTAATTTCTCTTGATAAGATTGTTTGTTATTCAGGGCTCTCTCAATTTCTAAATAAACTTAGGTTTTTGGTTGCTGAATACAACAAATAAATAACAGTAGACACCACCCACCTTAAACCAATGTCTTTGATTGTGTGCGAATCAGCTCCTTTATTAGACCAGCTCCATCTCTAGATCTGAATAAAGCCCAACCATTTTTATTAAGTTGTAGGTCATCACGTACCTAAGGATGAAGAATAATACAAAAATAGTTTTAATTTGCTGTAGAAAAAATGCATTTGACATCTCAGAATCATTCAAGAAAAAATATGCCAAATTTTTAAGAGATTGTTGGCATGTAAAATCTGTGTTATAAAATCTCAAATGAAATAATAATATGAACCTTCTTGTATAGGGTTTTTGGCCTATTGTTTGATGCCAGTTCAATCCTCTTGGTTCCTTCTTTGGACTGTACCCTGAGGATCTACACAAAATAGAAAGATTTGCTGATTATAAGGCAATACCATAGAAAGAATAAGAAAACTTGAGGAGCACCATTGATTGATAAAAGTAACAAACAAAAGTAATCAAAAGTTACGCCATAGAAACAAAAGTAATCATTCATTTGAAAAAAAAGGATTTTTTATTTTTGAGAGGCACAAACCATTGAACAGAACTAGAAATATGCATAATACAAGGGAAGCAATATGTAAAAGTTTTTGCTAAAAATTCTATTCAGTTGAAGCACTGGTGCTAGAAGCTAATTGCTTGAACATTGAAATAGGTGGTTGTTGTAACTTCTATTCTTTAGAGCTTGTATACACTGAATAAAGGGCTCTTGCATGTAGTTGCTGTTATGGATGCTTTCACTAGTCAAGTTAAACTGCCCAAAATTCCTGTTTTAAGCCCAAAAACTAGAATTTCTTTAGAATAGAAAGATCCATCCTTTTTTTCATAATCTCACACTCAACAGCAAAACAATGAAAACTGTAAAACTGGTGTGCTTACCATAGGAGCTGATCTGGACATTTTTGATGATATCGGAATGTTAGATACTTCTTAACTGCAACATAAATAATATACAGTTATGAAATGTGAAATGAAAAATGCTAAATGTAGAAATAAGAAAAAACAAAAAGTATGAAAGAAAAAAAAATAATTCAAACTTTTGGTTTTTCTCTGTCCTTTGAGATAGCGTTTGAAAACATATGATCTAGTCTGGCTAGGGGTTTGATCTGGCACCTAGACTGCATTTGATAGTAAAAATCTTAAAAGACCAACTAGAATTTTTGTATGAGCTTTATTTCTAAAGTTGAGGGCCCACTAGCTTTGCACTGATAGAGTAGAGTAGATAGAGTAGAAATGTGACAAAACGGCGAGGCTCACCATAAACGTCTAGAAAATGGGGCTATACGTATATTTTTAAGTGCAATAATAAATTTTAGTTCCACATACCCGTGCACTTAAAAACTTTGTGCCTTTGAAAAATCACTGTGATCATATGCAACCGACACATATAAATAATTAACTGAAGCAAATTAAACTTTGTTTAAAATACGATTTCTGAACGATGGTTTGGTTTGAATAACTTTTACTGGAATCGTCTGGTGTTTCACAGAGCTAAACATACTCTTTATTCCACAAAGCTTTTAAACAAATTGTCCATCAAAGTCAGTATTGTTTATCGACGTCGTGATTTCTTCGACAATTTACAAGTCGTTAAATGATATCCAGTTTCAGTAATATCAGCATTAAGAATAATTTATCATAAAGAGGGTGCATAAATTGCTGCTGCTAGCGTTGAATGTACTTTTTTATATGCAACGATATAAAGATTTTAGGCCTAAATTAGTATTTACAAATGTTTGCACAATGTTATATAGCTTAATGAAATGCAAATAATAACCTCCCGACAAAGCTAGCCTTTGTTCGATTAATAGCATTTTATTTCGTTAAAAATATTTGTTTTAGCAATGAAGGAACTTTCAATATTTTTTTAAACAAGCTGCTGTAAACAAACCTTTCTCTGACACAACCTCGATTGAATGTCATCGTTCTGGAGGATCTGCCGCGCGGAAAATGTGGCACCTTTCCCCGCGTTATCCGAAGTTGGGTATTATATTGGCGGGGAAACCTTGATTCCAAAAGAGGGTGAATCTAAGTTTTCCTTGCGTAACTTTATTTGGAGTTTTAAAATATTTTTCGGGTCTTAAGGTCAAAGGGATCATCTCGACGGTCTTTTCTGTGGAGTTTTGAAAGTGTTTCGGACTAGCTTCGACTGTGCACAAAATAAGACGTACAAAACTGATCTTCCCGACATCCTCACTCTTAATTAATTTTTAATCTTTGAGAAAATTACTAAAGTTTTAGCGAGACAATCCAGGCATGCTCTTGTGGACACCGTTTCTTACGTTGTACTTAAAACTTTCCAATTGAACTAGATATGGTTGTTCGAAATCTAGAATAACAACAACTAATTTTCTGCACCAGTTTGTAAATTTTTTCAATGCCATTGTTCACAAGGCAAGTTGAAATTTCGTGCTATTCTTGTTAATCTCAAAAAAGCTCAAATTGATGGCAGTAACTAGGCCATAATAATTTGGTCAGATTCTTATGAAAATGAAACAAAACAGCTAGAAATTTTTAAAACTATATTTGTTAAAATATCATGTCGCTTTTGGCCCCTTATTTTGAATTCAAACTATCTCTTGGACTAAACACAGTAAAAGCATTGATAAAACTTTTTCATCCTAAAAAATTTCATCCAAAGTGGGAATGCCATTGAAAGTGTAAATTTAGAGTTCACGTGCTCTTTTGGTTTTAGCACTTAGTCTGCGGGTCTTTGTCTTTGTACATTGGTCTTCAGGATCTCCAGGGTTGGTCTTCGGATCTCGGACTTTGGTCTTCAGTTCTTAGTCCTAAGGAATCAGTCTTGAGCACTACGGTCTTCGGACTTTCTGACCTAGGTCTTCGGGAATTAGTGCCTGGGGTCTCTAGGCATTGGTTCTTGGAAATTATTTTGATTATTTATTTATTAAAAAAGTTTCTTAACTTTCATGACAATTATGTACTCGAAATATCTTAGATTATGAGGTTATCAGAAAACAAATTCAAAATCTGAGTTAAAGGTAGTAGAATTTGGAGGGCGTCTAAACAATAATTGCTTTTTTGGTAGTCTAACATCACACAAGCACTTTTAAACAGTGGTGGAAATCTTGGAGGCGAGGGGGCGGTCACCCCCCAATACTTTGGAGAACAAGGTCTTCTGTTCTAAAACAGCGGGGAAATGTGACGTCGTCTTATTAAAACAATAGGCTGCCCCCTCCCCCAATATTTGACCAAGTGTCCGCCTCTACTTTTAAGAAAGAATGAAATATAAAGGTTTTTCAATTGGAGCAAATACTGTGAGCCAAATTTTATGTACCAATATGTTAAAAGTATCAAATTTTATGACAGGAAAGAGTTCCGTTATTTGAGTTTACATATTTGCGTGATCATAGCTACGTAGGACGCACAGCCCAAAGATTGGGGGATTGAATAAAACAGCATGCCCCTTCAAACATTAGAAACAAAATTCTCCATCTAAAAGAACAACCTACTCGGTCTTGCAGATTAAAAACAAAAACTAAAACATGCGATTCTGCAATCGGACAGCATTTACTGGAACACCCAGACCGTGCAGAAAACTATAATGGCGATATGTTTGGAATGATTGGCAGAGCCCGGTTGTTTTTCCATCAATCTACGTGGAAACAAAAATCGATAATGAGTAGACAGAACAAGTTCATTTTTACCCTAGGGCTCCGTTAATGATATTTTTTATAGGCAAGTGGCACTGATTTGGCAACCTTTTTACAATCATCCTTCACAGTCGTGTGCACGCGTTTCCGATTGGCGCATTTTGGGAGTTTAGAATGTTGTTGTTCGCTGAGATAAAATGCTTGAATAGGCCTGAACTTCGATAAATTTTTGGAGCCCCCAGCTCCTTTATTTACTACGCCTAGGCCTTTTTCGATCCAAAGCTGGGTATATTCACTTCCTAGCTTAGAGTTTTCGTTCTATGTTCTAACGTTTTATACTCCATTTATCGTCAATAAATCTACAACTTTTTGTTCTTAACCAAGGGGGTGCTCCCTCCTCGATTAGTTTAACTATTGAGACAGTTTCTTCTCTCAAATCCTTGCATACAAATCCCCTCATAGTCCTGATAGTTTGATTATCTATTGTAACTAGTTAGCTTCATGTATGGTATCATTTCAATGGCATTTGTATGTAGTGGAATTTCAAAATGAAATGAACTGAACTGAACTCCAAAGAGTGTCAGACAAATATTTGCTTTTTGTACTTCCAAAACATTGTCAGCAAAATACCATTTTCCACAGATAACTGATATAATCAAACTTGTAGCAATTATTGATACCGTTGTATAAAGACACCGTTGTATTAAGAAAGTTTAACTGGTTCACGTTTTTATCCCAATCATTTCGAAAACAGTTGTATCCATCATCAACCAATTACGGGAACTGGTATTTCTATGAAATAAATATTACGTCCTTTCATTAAAACACTGAACCTCTGAATGACGCCAACCAGATGCATCAATTTTTCGCGCTATGGGGGTATGAGAATTGAAACGAGGTAATTTTTCCGACGTGTGTCGGAACTAATTGCAAAAAAACACCACAAAAAACTTAGTGAAACCTCTGCCTGGATCAAAAGGAAGCTGAATTTTTGTTTGCTTAGAATTGCAGTAATTTGCGTTAGAGGTTCTAGGTCCCGTCAACATCTTGTCCCTATCAGTGAAATGGGTGATCTTGACACCAGAAACAATTTATCTCGTATGGTTATTTAAAACTTTATGTTAGTGTATACATTTTTAAGACCATTTTTTGTTCTTCTCATTATAAAAACAGCACTGAAATATTGTGAATTATAGCCTCTTTTATTTAATTACTTTGGTAAATCTAATACTTATTAATATCTGTTTAAAGTGGGGGTCATCAGGGTTTTGCGGAAAAACGGAATTAGAAGAAAATTTCTCGCGGGTTACGGAAATCTTGCAGTTTCTCGACGGAACGACGGACTCCTCCACACATGTAAGCGCGCATTGTCACGAAAATGATACACGGAATACGGAATTTTTATAATGTTTTAAGAATATGGGGAATTATTTACATGTTGTCTTGTAAAAAATGGCTAGGCCACATCTTGGTTTTTCTGATCATCATTACTAAACAACAATTTTGGGACGTGAGACTTTGGCTAAAAGTGATCGGAGCTGCGGATTTCAACTTAAAATTGTGCGAAACGGCGGATTTCGATCCCCCTTGGTGACCCCCACTTGAAATATAAGATTTGAACTGTCACACCTGAAGTGACACAAGGCGGTGAGGGTGCGCGCTCGGGAGCCGTTTCCTCTTGCGGAAACAGCCCAATTTGTGCAGTATTTCAGTGCCAGGCCTTTCTAAACAGGTCAAGTTTTTCGGAACATTTCCTGAAGTTTCAGGCGTCAGCAGCCTTCAAATTTAATTTTTCTTTCATGTTGCCTTCTGGAAAAGCTTTTATTCGATTTCCTACCCGAAAAAATTGGCTGCCCAAATCTATAAGGCCCCTCTCAGCCCCCTGACCTGAATGCCTGTGCGAAGATCTTATCCAGGTTATCAACAAAATTAAGCTGCCTTCACCTCCAGTTTCAACGAGACTCTCGCACCGCGCGGCTGGTTCAAATCCTCCAGGCTGATGACATTGGAATTCAATCAACGTCAAAAGCTTACTTCAGTTGTACTGGAAATATTTAAGCCTTATTCTCAGGGATAATAAAATATATAGCATTGAGCTAGATGTAAATTTACCGATGATAACTTTCACAAATTCTGATCTGACAAAAAGTTAGGCCTACAGTTTTGATTGTATCAAAAAAGTCAAAAGCCAGTTAGGCCCTTTAAACTACCCAATGGCAAAAATCGATAAATCCAGTTTATTCTGAGCCTAATTATCTGCTAACCCCTTTGATTCTGGAAACCCCTCTATCATTCTCCCTCTAAATACCTAACTCTCTCGTGCCGTTGAATGCTATTTTCTCCTTTGCTGTCAACCCCAACCCACTATTATTTCTTACTGCTTTTATTTCTTATTGCAAACTGAAGTTTTTGCACGGATTACTAAGTTTAGAAAGAAAAAGCAAAATTTTTCTATTTTGAAGCATCTCATCTTACCTTCAGCCGCGTCAAATTATTCTTAAATTGTAAAAAACCTTTCACGTCTTTTTTGATGACATTACAAGCCAGTCAGCATTATAAAACTGTCTCGTTGTTAAATAAATTGGCCTCGCTTTAGAATGTATTACGTAATTTTTACACTGACTTTTATTCCTGGTCACAGAATGATCTCGGGGAATTGAATTGTGAAAAGATTCCCAGGGCCAGACGTAAAGATATGCACAATCCATATTTTCTTTTATCTTCATATGCCAGCAAACGCATTTATTTTCCAGAAGAAAACCATCTTGTATTATCTTTCCAAAATATATCTATTCGGACCCCCTCTTTGAAATGAAGAAAAAATTTGTAAGACACACAATGAAAATAAATGGAACAACTTGCTAATATTCTGTACTTGGCAAAGCTGCAGAGTGAATTAGAGGAATAAGTAAGGAGAGATGAACAAATACGTGTGGCTTACTGTCTTCCGAAGATTCATATCCCGGAAAGAGTTGGGCGGAAGAGCGTTCTCATAAAATTAATCTTCGTTTTAATCAATTTCTATTATCAAATGATGTATCGCTATATCTTTTTTAACACTAAGCTAACGCCTGTTTAGCTAAGCTGTTTGAAAAGCAGCACTATGCACAAGGAATATTCATATTATTTCTCGATTATACGCAAAGCCTCAAGGAATCTCCATCAATATAATGACATACTATCAATATCATGAAATCGTTTACCTTGAATCGCCTCCTCGCCTCAAACAGTGTTAACCAAGCTAGGCATGGTCGAGGAGAGTTTAGGGTTTCACATATGTATGAATTAACAGATGTCTGAGGTCAAGTTCAAGCATTTCTTTATAGAATATATAAAGGAATCCGAAATAAATTTTGAAAAGTTTGTACATTCTTTAAGGAAGAGTTTTGTCTAGATTTTGCCAATGACACAGTTATCATTGACGCAAAGATATAGTTTCTTATAAATGGACTTTAATGAGAAAGTCACGGCTTACTGAAACTTTCCCAATCTTTACTCACTAGCTTTGTACGTCCCAGCATACCATTTTTCATAGTTTTACATACCATTTTACTTTGCTATCTTTACATATATTAGGCTATGAAAAAATACACAGAATATGGAATATGCACCCACAATGCAAACAAAACCGAGCGAGAAATACAAAGAACTCCATGATAAATGTTTTCATTCGAGTCGCTTTTTTTAGGACTTATACTCGCTGCTGATGCCAGGGGCGGATCCAGAGCAAACTTGAAGGAAGGGCAGTTGGCAGTGGGGGCGCTGAAAGATTTTCAAAAATTGATGGCGAGAGAACGCTGTAAACAACAATTTCAGATCCATTTTCGGAATAAACAACATAACTTTTAAGTAATCCTTGAAGCAAATTAACCTATCGGTCTCAGAAACTTTTTAACCTGATTCTCATTCTTTAAAAGGGGCGCACAATTTCCAAAAAATGGGCGCCATACTTGCTTCAACTCGTCGAGGGAGGGGCAACTCCCCCTAGTTGCCCCCCTTAAATCCGCCACTGGCTGATGCAATGTTTATAGTGTAAACACGAGCCAGGTTGTGAAAATATCTTGAAATTCACAGATCTATGAATGAAAATCCTTACTTAATTTTCTAAAAATGACAACAAATAAAGTTCCGAAAAATATTTACACAATGATCTGATTTTTACAAGCGAAAACATTCACCAATTTATGCACTTTTTACTCTTGATTGTCTGATTTTTTTCTTAACACCGTTTAAGTTCATGCTCAGTCCAGTATGGTCAGTTTTCAGGTCTTTCAGCCTCTGTTCCAGTTCATCACCCTGTATAGAATTATGATGAAAACGATTACAAATAATCACTTTAATACCCAGATCAAAGGGTAAAACATTAATCGTCCAGGAATGTTTATAATTTTGCCCTTACAACTAAGACTCTGATTTATATCAGACTTATTTCTATATTTTACTTATTCTATAGACTGAAAGTAGATTTTGGCCTTGACATTTTTTAATGTTCGAATACAATTTGCGCGGCAACTATCGCAACTTGCCAATATCACGTATGGGAAAAATAGATGTTATTATCTACTTGGTTCCCCACTTGTACAAGCCCCTCCCAAATTAGCCCCACAACTGAAGTTAAACTTTTTTGTAGTCCTAAGCCCTGAATAAGCTCCAACTTTTGTGATTTTTATAAGCACCCTCAAATCAAGTCCCATCGAAGTTTCAAATCAGCAATCCCCCAGGATCCCTGAATTTTCATGACTTATTAAAGAGTGCCAAAGGTATCAAGTGACTTTATGGTAGAGTTGTATAGTTTAAAGCGTAGTTTCTTAAAAGGCCAGCTGCCAAAGGTATCACGTGACATTACCTCGTCTTTTCTGTGCTCGAAGTCTCGTAACAGTGATTCGTTGCCCAGTAAGCCACACTTCTGCTTCAGTTTCAAGTTGTCCATGCGAAGGGCATCGCGCACTTGCTTTGTGCGTGTAAGCACGTCTCGTTTCTGTATAGAAAACATTTGAAACACTTATTCATCGCTTTGAATCTTAATGCAAAACATTCTTCAGAATATTTCGCATAAGATGCAATATTTTAGAAAATAACAGACCCAAGGTTTCATGGAAACATAAGTATGTGGGCTTTCACTTTAGGTCCATAATCTTGATGAGCTCTCAAGATAGGGCAGGGATGGCTAAAATTCTATGTTCCTTCTTCCGAAAGGGTAATTCCTTGCCTTGTCCAATATTCATTTAAAAAGGAATAGGAAAGGGAGTAAAAACGTTTCCTCTACCGATCTCTGTGACAGGGTCTAGGCTAGGCAGCATCAGCCCATCTAGAGACATATAGCACGGTTTCGCTGCCCTGCTCTGTTTCGTAAAGAATTCGGCCTTATTTGATACACAATGCACATAAAAATATAAATAGCCAACCCGCCAAAGCAAGCAGTCAAACATTTTTTTATTTGGAAAGGGGAATGTAAATATTGCAGCTAATTTTAACTGGCTTATCATTCCAGTTTCCTTTGAAAATTTCAGAATCAATCCGTGAGCATTTTGTTGTGCTTTTTCGTTTCTTTGTTTATTCCGTCTTTTAGTGCGACTGAAGTGAGGTTACTCTTAAAGAAAATAGGCTATGTCTCCTATCTACAATACACGAACTGGCCTAACCTGAGCCACTGTTGCTTCGATGTTCTTCAGTTTGGCCCTCTGCTCTGTATTTTCACCCTAAAACATCACAATAAAGTCATCAGCTATTCACATAGCAGAAAGAATTATAATTCTCTTAAGATAACCACACCAATCCTTAACTTGTCATCATCATCATTGTTTTATTGATTCTTTTCCATACTACAATCAACTAACATCAGGGGAGAAATAAAGATCAATTTTGCAAAAGAAATGTAAAAAGTCCCTTAATTTCGCAAAAAACATATTGTAGTGTTACATTGACTAAAAAAAATTGTCGCTCTTTTCTATTGTTGATAAAATTTCTGTACTTGTGGAGCATTGAATGACATTTTCTTACTTGAAATCGAAATGCCATGTAAATGGGTAGTAATGGAAAATTGACGCAGACTTTTATCATGCACATCTATGATAAAACATCTTGCTTAATATGTTTTGATGATAAGATGTTGATAATTGACCTAGTTTCGAGGTTGCCTTGGCAACAACTAACTAGCTATCTTGCCAAATCTTGATATCCTAGAAAAGTTTTTGTAGAGGCTACTAGATAAAATTGTTTTAGCCACAATCTGATCAGGAGAGCAAGCAAAGAACGATTAAATCGAACCCAACAGATCTGAAGCACGTGGTACTATTGATAATCTCAAAATTGTCCTGGAGGTGTCTCACAGCAGCCGCCATCTTAGATAGAGCCCAGCAACTAATGTTGCTTGCATTTCGCGGAATATTTTTTACTATCTCATGTCAAAGCGCGGTGAAACACAAGAAAAACAATATTTTAATTTATCTACGGATTTAATCTTGTTCGATTGCAACGGTAGATGTTAAGTAAAAACTGCAATTTCAATAAAAAACCTTTTATCTCGAAACAGATGAATGGCCTTAACTCCTTACCAAATAGAGCCGCATCCATAAAGATTTTTATGTGGTTTTTACTAGCATAGATTCGAATTTTACAACCAAAAAAATCTGTATCCGAATTTTCATATTGCTAGTTTTCGGTGCACGTGGCCTGTAGAAACTGCTTTCGCCATGAAATTTTATCGAATATTATCAGTTAATAAATTGCCGTTCTAGTTAATGACCAATAAGAAGATTATCCTAGATGACTAAAATAAATAAATAATTTATGTACGCCGTCCCAAAGGGTAGAAAAGTTTGATGTTTCTCATGGGGCTTACCCACCAAAGTTGTGGTGATTCTAATTTCTAGAAAAACTTGAAGAGCAGGGGAGCAAGTTTTAGGCCTTGTTTTATTCTCATAATAAAATAGCGAGAATACGCGATCTAATAAAGAGAGAGATTGACACCCACCTGAACGAACTGCAGCTTTTCTTTCAGATGTGTTAAAACTTGTACCGTGGTAGTTATCTTCTTTCTCAGCTTCAAAATTTCCTGAAATGGAGAAAAGACGTGAAAGTGACGAGTAAAGGGCTTCTCGTGAAGCTAGATGCATAGTTCATTGCATAATTCATTCACGACTTAAAGAATTCATAGGCAGATTTAAAGAACAGCAAGCAAAATCATCGCCATTTTAGGTGTTTGCATAACCCCTCCTTTCCAGAAATTTTGGATCCATCCCTGTTGAACTAAAATGCATAGGTCTGGAGAAGAAAAAGCCTATTGACTCCTAATCAGAATGATTGCTCTCGCTAAAAAGTCAAAGTAAGGTGTGAAAATGAAAAAGCATCTGGAGTTTAAGTTCAGTTTATGAAGAGAATTATCACTTATAGGTAATTAGTTTTCTATTTAGTTGCCCTGATTGCTAATGCTGAATACCTCGTTCCGCTCCTCAATCTTCTCATTGTACGTTTGGTTCTCGATTTTCAGTTGCTCAAAGTCAATCAGATGCAGTCCTTCAGCAAGCTCCTCCTGTCAATAACAAAAAAGGCAATAATTTAATCACTGTTGGTTGAAGATTACAACTTGAAGAAGGGCAGCCCTGTATTGAGATGCAACAGAAGTAACGAGAGAGCCAATAAGTGAGTGCATTTTTGTTTATTGAAGTATGTCATTGCATTCCACTGTACAGGTTGACATGTTTAGTCTAGAGTGTAGAACGACAGGTTTACTCTTTTTGGTGTATTGGCTCTTAAAATCAAACCATATTCTTTGGTGACTCCAATTAAACGGGGTCTCAAAAAGAGCCCTTTTTAACTTGTCTTAATATCCCTTTGGCTTTTTTGTTCAATTTTTCCTTCAGCGAATTCTGCCAGAGTTGGTTATTCAATCAATATTTTCTTTTCTACACTGGCTTTTTACCTTTTGTTTTTGGAACTAACTTATCTTTCAAATTCAAAAGCCCTCCTCTCAAAAGGCACATCTTCATATGATGCACAAACACTTCTTTTTTCCATTATTGCCTCACTCCTGAGCAGAGGTGTAGAATTGTGTTGACTTAGGAGGGCCAAGCCTTTTCTGCTAATAACGAAATGTAGCCTACTTTTTGCTATTGTTTTTTGAGAAATCTTTCGTCAGAGGCCCTTTGTTCTTTTCGTGTCACACTGTGCCCCTGTGATATACTTCAAGAGTCAGTTTTACTCGCGAAGACCGTTATTGGCAGCTGTTATTGGCGTCAATTTCCTTCTTGCTATAGCATTACTTGCGACTGTGGTATAACTTTGCCATTGATGATGTCCGTTATTTCGCTTTTAAACCTTGAAACAGCTGCACAATTTCCTCGCAGTGAAGCAGGGAAGTTCACCAATTCCCGATCCGGTTCCTCCTGTCCTTTTACCCACTCAGTTCCTGCACCCACCGAACATGTTGTGGCCATATCAAACCGAAAGCCAAAATCTTCCCTGCCCGAAAGCCACATTGGGCGCCCAATATTTTAAACTATAAACCCTGTGGGTTGAGAATATTTGGCCAAAGAAAAACTACCACCAAATTATCAGGAACGATTCCATCATCACTCATGCTTAACTCAAATACCTAACCAACAAAACTAAAAAAACCACACCTTATCGCACGTGCTACAGCGTAAGCATGGGGAGAGCGCAGAATATGGCTTTGCAATAATAGTTTTGCGGCTTCAAAGCCTCTATGCAATTTTTCCGTGTGGCCTACGAATTTAGCAATGGTTTTTCCGCGAAGAGCGGCTTCACAGGTGCAGCTTGCGTTTTTTGGTGTAAATTGGCTTTACGCGCTTGCGGATCGCGGCTTCTGGCTGATTTTTACAAGGTTTCGCGGTCTTTGGACATACTATGATAGCCCCCCGTTCTGTGGATGGAAACGAAGATGACTGAAATTCTTGACTGAAAGTACCATACTTTTAATGAGCTTTGAAACAAACCTTTGCTTTGAGTTGCTGCTCCTTCTTTCGAAGCTTATTTTTAAGCTTGATATTTTCGAGTCTGACCTAAAATCCAAGAACAGTTGGAAGATTAATGGACTGGGGCAGACAGAGGAAATATAACCATAAGGAGATACAACAAGGGGCAATTAGATGCCCTGTTGTTTTAAATGCTCTTGTGCCCTAAAACAACTCCACTTACATACTAGCAACTTGGTATAAAACATCGTTTTAGAGCTTTATACTCAGTGTGCTGTTAAAAAATTGCAGAAATTCAAATTCGTTGAAAGAGCTTATTTAATTTACTGAAGAGATCTTCTGAAGTCAGTTTGTCAACAAATATTTTAATGGGCTCTCCTTCAGTTGTCAGAATAAAAGGCGGTGAAAATGGAGTTTGAGGGCTGGTTACAAATTCTTTGCCATTATCTTATGAATTCAAACCAGACAAGATTAAAGACAGCTTTATTTCTGTCTCCCTTAATTATTTTTGCTTACTTAAACTCAATCACCTGTCCATAATTTGAATAAAATATCCATCACTTGTTGGCCTGGCACATCAGAGAAAAATTACTTATCTTTTTTAGCGCAAGGTTTCCATTAAGACATGTCAACCTTCTAAGAATCGGAGTTAAGATTTACCATTCCAGCCAGCGCTTTACTGCATTGACCTAAGGTTATTGAGGCTTAGAGGACCTTATGAAATTAAAATGAATCGAACAGGAATGCATAATGATCAAAACATAACCCAGTTCAAAATAAAGACTGGTCTTTTGGGAATGATGTGCGTCAGCCATATGACTAAACTCATCCACATTAAATCATCCATTCCGACAGAACTTGATCTTAGAAACAAAACTTTTGTAAAAGGGTTCAAAGAGTAGAAAGTAATTTATTTATCGTTCTTGTCACGCCAAAAGGATTTGCCCGGGTAAAATATGAAAACAAGCGGATATTTTGTTTTTCTTCGAGGAATATCGGCCAATGAGCATTGTTATCGCGAAAAAGCTTGTAACATAACAATTGTGTTACATTGTTGTCAATGAAATGTAATGATCGAAAAGGAACCCACCTGTCGAACCTCTTGTTCTTTTTTCAACTCAACTGCTTGAAATATCTCCAGATCCTGTAGCAGATCGTTAATTTTTCATAAAAAGTTGTGATCTGGTTGTTTATCAATGTAAGAAATGATACCAATTGCCAAAAGTGGCAAGTTAAGTGTAAAGAAGTTTATAAATGATACTAAAATTGTAAAATCTGATTATTTGTTGATTTTTATGATCGAAAGACAAATGGGAACATGACGTAAAATGATGAAGTACGGTGCCCTGTCGTTGGCAGGTCGTGAATATTGGGAAACACCAAAAACCGAGGGAATGCAACAAATAAAAGAAATATGCCAATAAGTCTGTACAAAAGTAGCGAATATCTGGTGTGCGCTTCTCTTAGGCTTCGAATAAAGGCGACATTTTAAAGAAGGCATCGTTCAATGCTAGATAAGCAACCGAAAATTTCTTTTCGCATCAAAAGGCAAGAAATATTAACCATTCGAAATGTTGCAATTTTCCTTCGGGTATAAAAAATTCAATCGGAGTCAAATCACTCCTTAAAAATACGTCGGTGGTGCCACCTCGCGGTATCTTTTTTGTATCCTAGCTGGCATCAAGAATATAGCTGCTAGGGACTTTCTATTGAGATTGTAGGTTATCCGGGAAACAGATTTCCGAAAGTCGATCCTATCTGTGGCGTGTGAAAGGAATTGGTTTTGGAGAATTTGCACCAATGATCGGATAGCTTAGAAAAGCCACAACACAAATGCGTGAGAACACATCGGAAAAGTTGTTAATCCAAAACTGAATGTGATACGGAGGGAATTATTCAAAGCGTTAAGATCTTGAATTGGTACCTACATTCTTATCATTACAAACAGAAAATTTAGTAAACAGATAACATATTGTGAGACATTCCAGACATTAAAAAAGGTTTATCAAATTACTTAATTACGCACCTTTTGGGGTATTGCTTTACCAGATCTGCTGTTAATTGAAGATTTTGCAATTTCGTATTTGAATTTCACGAATTCCTCGCTGCAAAAGATTTTCAGGATATAAATCTTCTACCTCTTGACGACCCGATGATTTTTTTTGTGGAGTTTTGTAATGGAGTGGTTGAGAAAAAGAGGTAACCCTGGCAACTGGCTCCAGGAAGATTTCCTGATAAATCTACCATGCCAGATGGTCTTATCGCAGAATAGAGATCCAGACAGTGATCTTATTGGTTGATTCACTTTTCTGTGGTCTTATAATATAAAAGTAACAATAAAGGAAATATAGGATTTGTAAGAAAAGGCAATATAATTTTATTAGGCTCAGAACCAAGGCACGAGTCGCGCAGCATTGAGTACGACGATTTGCCTAAACAGCACAAGATCTCAATGTGACAAATATGAAAACAGATATTCAGAGCAACAGATAGAATGTCAGCGACAGGGAATTCCTTTTTAGCTGAACGAGATACTTCGATGATAACATTAATTATATTCATGATCAGCCCACAAAACAAAAAGCTACCTCTTAGTGTTTGAAACCCAGTGCTTTTGAATGGCACACCTTAATCTGTCTGAACTGTCGGTTATAATTTTTACATATCCTTTTTGGTGATAAAAAACATAAGAATTCAGTCACTATTTCGAAGTATGGCCTCATGGAATGGTTTTAGCAATGGTTTTTTCGCAAATTGCGGCTTTAAAGATGCCTCTTGCGTTTTTTGGTGTAAATTGGCTTTATGCGCTTGCGGATTACGGCTTTAATTTGTATTCATATTCCAGTCAGATCAACAGAGAACTACATAAAAACTGTGTGTCGAAAGGACCCATTCTTTGGATTTTCTTATTTCAGGAGTGAAAATTGTATAGGGATAAGCTTGGTACAAGGGCTTCGAACGTAGTTTGAAACCAACGTACAGAAACTTACAGAAAATCTTGCTAAGTTGTATATGAAGTCTAAGAAAATTCAATCGCACATTTCTTCTATCAAGAAAATTTGGCTCTTTCCTTTCCCGATGTTTTTGCTTCAACTTGATTTGAATAAACATCAAACTATGGCGAGATAAAAAAAACTCGACAAGGGCATTTGACCTAAACGCACCTGGCCTGCTCCACTTTATCTTGTTTTTCCACACAACGCTGTTTAATCTCCTCTTTGTGAGCTTTGATCTCTTCCTGCTGTCTTCTCTCTTCGCTTTGAAGCTCTTGCAAGTTTGCTGAATCAGATAACGTATTTGTGACAGAAGATCCAACGAGAGTAAGAAAATGTCTTGCTTTCAAATAGTACTTGGTATTGCTGATGCTTCTCTTACGTTAATCAATCTAACTTCACCACAGTTCAAACACATTTTATTAGAATTGATGGATTCACAATTTTCATGATTTGTTTTTTTATGAAAAGGTGTCAAGAAAGAAATAGATGCATGATAAATTTTGAATCGCATTACGATGATATATCATTTTATAATATAGAATAAAATTCACAAAAAGTATACATTGTTCCTGGCCGCCTGAATTTTAACAATTAAGCTTTCATTATTTCTTTCAACCATCCATTTCGCTTCGAGAGCCTGATAATCGCCTCTCAAAAAACAGCTGCTTTGCCTAGGACTTTCAAACTATCTTGCTTAAGCGGCATCGCATACAATATTTCAGACATCGCGTAAGCGGGATCGCGTACAATATTTCAGACATCACGTAAGCGGCATCGCGTACAATATTTCAGACATCGCGTAAGCGGCATCGCGTACAATATTTCAGACATCGCGTAAGCGGCATCGCGTACAATATTTCAGACATCGCGTAAGCGGCATCGCGTACAATATTTCAGACATCGCGTAAGCGGCATCGCGTACAATATTTCAGACATCGCGTAAGCGGCATCGCGTACAATATTTCAGACATCGCGTAAGCGGCATCGCGTACAATATTTCAGACATCACGTAAGCGGCATCGCGTACAATATTTCAGACATCGCGTAAGCGGCATCGCGTACAATATTTCAGACATCGCGTAAGCGGCATCGCGTACAATATTTCAGACATCGCGTAAGCGGCATCGCGTACAATATTTCAGACATCGCGTAAGCGGCATCGCGTACAATATTTCAGACATGAAAACAATAATTCCCATTACATTCACTTACAGATGTACTTAAGATATCTCTGCTCCTGATCTGTGACATTCTTCTCCATTTCTTGAACTCGCTCGTCAGTCTGTAAAAATCAGGGAAAACCAGACATGAACTTTTCCTTACAAACATTAAACCAAAACCAAGCTCATCTAAATATGGAACAAAATAACCAAACATGGAAGCAAAATAACCAAATAGAGAAACAAAATAACCAAAAATGGAAAGAAAATAACCAAACATGGGGGCTAAATAACCAAACATGGAAAAAATATACTGCTTTCTCAAGCAGCAATTGACTTTCTCCAATAATAGATATTTGCAAGCTAACAGAAAACACAAACCAGAAACATCAGTAACATATAGGAACAGCTCGCAGAATGGAATTCAATAAAAAGGTCACCCTGATACGCCTTCGTGAAAATCTTAAGGTGACTGATGGTTCCTTAAGATAGGTTTTATAGGTATTCGTAGATATTTCAGGTATTTTTGACGAGTATTTCATAAGTTCTAGGTTTAACGGTTATTCGACTAGTTTACGGTCGTTTTGGAAGGTTTTCTAACGAGTTTTCGACAGTTTCTTCAAGGTTTGCATTTGTTTTGGCAGGTCTTCAGTGATAATCAGTTTCAGCGGTTTTTTTAACAGGTAGTCAACTCGTCCTGCTATGTTCAAAATAAACTTTATCGGATAACAACACAGGGGCGGATCCAGAGCAAATTTGAACGAGGGGCAGTCGGTAGCGGGGGCGCAGAAAATTTTCAAAAATTGGTGACGAGAGTACGCTGTATACAACAATTTCAGATCCATTTTCAGAATAAACAACATAACTTTGAGGTAATCCTTGAAACAAATTAACCTATCGGTCTCAGAAACTTTTTCACCTGATTCTCATTCTTCAAAAGGGGCGCACAATTTCCAAAAAAGGGGCTCCAGACTTGCTTCAACTCGTTGAGGGAGTGGCAACTACCCCTAGTTGCCCCCCCTTAAATCCGCCACTGTAATCACACAAGAATAAAAATCAGCGTTATACAAAAAAAATTAATTGCTGTTTTCCGTTACCTGTGCTGCTAAGGTTGTTTAAGATAGAAGTATGTACTTGAGAAGATGAATTTTGACGAAAGTAACAGAATTTAATTTAATCGAAACAATTAACAGATGGCACATTACCTTCTTTTTCCTGAAATATTCAGCTAGCTTGTGTTGCAGTTGGTTATTTAAGTTTTGGAGCTGCGAACGTTCCTCAAAAACCTCCTGCAAAAAAAGGGAAAGGCTTTGGCATCAATTTGCAAGTCTAGAGTTCTATTCACGCTCTAAGCGTTCAACTTTTTTAGATTCTTTACAACAGTCAAACGAGAGTTTGCTAAAATCTAGTAGGAAATACATTTGCCAGATGTCCCCAACGCTCCTCTGTTAGATTATTGTTGCTGTAAATAACAGGGCAAATGTAAGAGTTTCTAGGGCTTCAAAGGCCACATCAACTCAGAAAAGATTAAACTGTCAATCTGTAATAAAATTCATTCTATTTACAAATTATAAAAGCTATAGTAGTGTATTCTATTCCAACAGGTTTATTCCATAATTTTTTAAAATAGGTATATATCTGTTTTGGACACAGAAAGTCAGTATTTTGGGTGAAAATTCTCATAGAGAGGGTGATAACTTGTGGAAAAGTGGGCAATTTTGAATTGGAATGGATACAAATCGAGAACAACAAATGCCAGTTTTACAATTTTTGGTCCCCTGCTTATAATTATGCAGTGCCTTAAAATAATTTCTATTGTTGCAAAGATGCAAACCTTGTATCTTTCGAGCAACTGAGCTCTATCAAACACAGGATATTCAGGTGATGAGCCACGATCGCTCTGGTTCTCCTCTTCTTCAGGTATATTACGAAAGCCTGTATAGGAGACAACATTTGTTCATTTGTTATCAGTTGAAGATAACATTTGTTCTCGAATTTCAAACAAACCAAGCTACATTTTATTGTGTTTATGAAAGCAGAATTGGGAACACATGGCCTGCTTTTGGCATGATAGTGAAGCCTTGCTAACCCAGGTATATCTTTGGTACTTTATGATCTAAAGCTTCATATCAATGCAATTTGATCCAAAGATATTTCTTAGTTTTTCTGTTTGTGATTATTTTTCAAAAGTCATACTGAAAATTTCTCAGTGGAGTCCCTGATCACTGCTGTTCAGATTCACCTTTTTGAGCTGAGCTTATAAAAATCTTAAAGTAATGGTAAAAAATAAGTGAATAAATGAAATTTAAAACAATTTGCTAACCTACCAAAACTTTCATTAATACTGTCTAACACCAAAAAGAGTAATTAAATATTCTACTAGTAAACTGACCATAATTTTCTTCCATTTCCTCAATAGCTGGAGGTGGGGGTGTTGAATAGGCATCAGGAAATTCCCGATTTGCAAGTGTATCTTCTGCACCATGTTGCATTTCATCATCAAACTCTTGATTAGCTATTTGAATATCTGGGTGTGTGTCCTCTTCTTCTGTGATTGCATTGTACTATCAAATCAACACAGTGCTTCAATTTTAATTTTTTTGAAACACAAGGAATTCAAAATTGTTCCTTTCTTCCATTTATAAATATCAATTTAAACAGTTTTCAATGTAAATTGTGATGCTTAGTATTAGGGAAGGATATGCAGTAAATAAGAATTCATGACAGAATAAAACAGGATAGAATAAGGTAACATCTTGTTACTTGTGAACATCAGATGAACATGGGAAATTAAATTTCATCATCTGATGTCTTTCAGACTATGCAAACAGTGACACTGTTCCAAAACTTACATCAAAACTTTGTTCAATAACTTCATTTTCTGTTATTTCTTCCATATTGGATTCCAGTTGATCTGTAATACTGGCATCCTGAAAACAGAACATTTATTCTTTTTAGCTCTAAGTTTACGCTTAGAAATTAATAACTCCTGTTACTTTGTTTGACAAGAGTAGCATATTTAAAATGCTCCCTTTCTGTATTGCAGTTAAGATTAGTTTCAAATTCTATTGATAGTTTGAAAACATATATAATGTTTTCCTTTGTCTGCAAAAGTAGATCTTTAGCATTCCTGCTAATTTGGGAAACCTTTTTACATCTATTAAAAACTTAATATATAAAAAGTAAAGAATACAATAAAAGTATATTATAAAAATGAAAAAACAGATTTCAAGAAAAGTTACACAGCTCACAGTGTTCATTGCATTAGCTGTCATTAAGCAAAGCCTCTAGGTCCTTTTATCTAATACAATTGTGGAAATAATGAAAAATATGAGTGTTTAGAGCTTACAGTTTGTGCCACATCTTCTTCTGGAATCTCTGGAGCTCCTCCATCTTCATTGCTTTCCACAACTTGGTTGTCTGTTTGTTCTACTATTGGAGTACTCTCTTGTAGTTTTTCATCTTGTGTGTTTATGTCTTCCTCTGCATCTAGTGGTTTGAAAAATTTCTTTTCATACAATATTGGCTGCATAAAGCTTCTCTAAGTCAAACAATAATTAGGGATTGAATTGTATTGCTCTATTGTGAGGCTTTGTTTTTATATTACAACATGAAAGATTATCATATATAAAATTGAGCTTTAAGAGGGTATGCTATTACTGAAAAGCAAGTATCTTATCACTATAAAATAACTTGGAATCATTATGTAAAATGTGACCACATTTGGGGGAAAGGGAAGAAATCCATTTTGTGAGGGTCACATTGATATGAAGGTCAAGAATCTATCAAATATGTTAGTTAGAATTTTCATTGTCAAATAGTTTTTATTGTTTTATTCTCAAATAGTTTATTGGCTGTTATCTCATTTTTTATACTATGTTTGCTTGTCATTGGCTCAGTTCTCAAACCTGACGTCAACAGTCACCACACTATAAATTGCTGACCCAAGTGGGCTGTTGATTGTCAAAATTTGGCCTACACAGAAATTTTTTAGGTGGACAACAAGATGAAGTGATTCTACAGTTCATCAGAATTATTTATTAGGCCCATAGAAATGGCATTTCCTTCTCAAAATTAGCTTGTTTGTGAACAATAATACAACAAAACTTTTCTAAGAAATTGTTGATTGCTTTTCTAAGAAATTTTAGCTCACTAAGAAGCTACACCTCTCATTTCATTGCTTTTTTTACTTGATGTCTTTTCTACAAAAAGAACTGTTTTGCTTAAAGCAAATAACAAGTAAAAATTTCCTACTTTTTTCAGTCACATTTTCTTGCCCTGTTTCTTGCACATCTTTGTCTGTGGTCTTGGTACTATCGTCACTGGCTACCTCTGCGGTATCAGCCTCAGCATTGTCCTCCTAAAATTTATTAAAATTGGAAATGTGGATTCGTTTCGTGAGTTTATTTATTCATTTATTAATACATCAACTTTATTTGAGTGCCAAAGAATTTAATGGGGAATAAACAATATAATATAAACTAAATAAATTGTTGAATGGATCAGCTATGCATAACAACTCAAAGTTTATAAGCCAGTTAAAGATTTAAAATGTGCTATAGACAATATAACTAGCTTAGTGCAGTGGTGGTTTTAAGGGGGGTCCAGGGGGCCATTGTCCCAGGCCCTGTGTTTATGGTAGCCAAAAGAAATTGTATTAAGAACAAGGGCCCCGTATATGTTTTTGGCCCCGGGCCCCACAGTCCCTAAAACAACTACTGGTTTAGTGTTATTCCTTTCCTAACAAAAAGTGGTAGTTTAATTGCTCAGTTTGGTTATGGCTGGCAAGTTAAAAAGTGTTCTGAATTCTTTCTGAAGTCCCTAGATTTTCGGTTTTTGATGTGGATGTATCATACATGAAGTATACTACCTAGTTTAAGTGAAAGTGAATAGACAATGATGGAGTTCAAATAAATGATACATCGTTAGCATTCATTCAGGGAAATAAATATTGAAATAAATTCCTCATTTTGGAATCCGACACTGATTGTAATATTTTGTCTGTTTGACTGTTCAACTAGAACCACAGCCACTTACATGCATGCATAAAGTGAGAAATGAGACCAATGACTATATCCACATGTTTACATTTAATCTCTGCTTCACTTTAGTTAGCTGGAGAAGGCATATAGCAAAAACTGTTTCAATTTGACTGAGATTGTCAAGACTCAAAATATGCTATAGCTTGCTATCAAAATTGTTACGAATGACGGAAATAACACTAGTGGAGCTACTTGCATTCATGCACAACGTTTCTTGAAACGGCTACGATAAACGCTGGCTTTCAAAACAGATGAGTTTAGAATTTTAAAATTGTTTTTATTCAAAATTCAAATTTTATTTGGTATTTCAAATTCGGTAAGGAGACGCAGTTATTAAGAACCTTCTAAGAAGCGTAAAGGTTGTTGCCTAATTAAGAAATATGTTTAGCAAGATGAAAGATCGTAGAAGAAACATCGATTACCTTTAGTTCGGAGGAGCCGACAACGACTCCATCTTCGTCAGCCATGATTTGTTTGTTGTCATGGAATTGCGATAGCCTCTTTCTTGGGATTCGCTGTTTTTACTGTAAATGAGGTCATTAGGTAATTTTAGTCAGAATTTTTTTAACATGCAAGAAACTACGAAACAAGAGAAAAAAAACAATGAGTTTGAGCCTTCACCACAACTGGCAGTCTTAAATTCAAATTGATAAATGAAATAACAGACAACAATGACGCTAGATAAAGTCAAAGTTTTCACTTTTCAAACTTGTGGTTGTGTAAAAGACGTTCGGGCAAGTTCCATATTATTCCCCCCTCTAAATTTGTTGCATATTCAAAATAAACGGTTCAGCGATACGAGACAGCAAAACTGTGCAGCTAACATAATAACATGAGAGACTAAAATGAGACCGAAGAGATGCGCTGATATAATCGAAACATGTTTTGTTGGGGAATCTCTTCAACCAACTCCTGTTATTGCCTTTTGAGCTCTTCTCACTTTCTGTGTTTTTCTCCTTTTCCAACTTCCGTTTTATCTCCCCTTTTCTTTTCAACCCTTCGACATGTCAATATCCTCTGCCAGGTTTTTGAAGAAATTCTATTGTTAAGAATGTTTCGGTGAATATTTTCTGAATGCAGCTATTCTAAAATAAGATTGTCCTAAGCAGGTTAGCGATTTGCTTTTTCTGTGAGAAAATCGATAAGAATATTATCAAAACTTTTTGATATAATTCTCACCAACTTTACCACTGAAAGTGCTCTAGCGAGAAAAATATCAGATGTTCATACCAGTGAAATAACAGAAAAACTTACTGACATGACAACTTAGTGAGAAAATCACATTCATACTGGTGGACTGGCACGAACTACGCTTATTACGTTAAACAAAATTGTCACTATCTCCTTCATCAGTAAATGTTCCTGTCTCTCTACCAGGGATGGAAAACTGAAACGAGCATACCAGCAAAGCTCTTTGAAAATTTTTGCACGATGCCACAGGAAATTGCAATCTGCAAGAAATGTAAAGCTTGAAGACGAACAATTTAAGAAAGAAGTAAATTGACAAGAATAAGAAAAAAACTGTGTGGTGTTTTTTCCTAAAGTGAGGTACGATATGACTTAAATCAGTACTATGTGAATTTCATCACACACGAAGCACAATCTAAGTACCTTGTCTTTAAAATTACCAAGATTAAAAGATAGATAGATAGATAGATATGACTGGACAAAAACACAGCAAGATGTTTCAAAGAGAAAAACAACAGAAAAACGTTACTTCGATCCACATAGAAAATTATGCAGGCATTGAGGAGATCATCTCATAGTTGCAATCTGTGCTGGGTATATAAAGTTGACAATAATTTCATAATATTTTTGCAAAGGTTTTTGTTTGTTTGCTGTATTGGGTAAAATGCCATTATGTATATACCCACTTCGAGATCACTCAAGTATGAGCTCGTTAACATTTTCCCTCGACTATTTGAGGTGTTAGGTCATGTAACCATGTTGTTGGATTGTGTTGTTATGTCCCTTTTGTGTCATTGTTTGAAAGTGCAGGACCGTTTAAAATCAGTCTACTATGAAAAGGCGAACTCCATTGTGGTTCTTTGTCGAATTACCAGCTGCTAAATAATAAGCGAGAGTCAAATGCAAATTGCCTATTGAACAGTCATATTCAGGTTCGATTTTGATCTGAATTCTTCGTGGCCAAGCAAGCTACATGTTTGATAAACACCAAACGTGGATCGTAACTTTTTGATTGAGTATGGTCTTTACAGGGGAAGTCAAGGAACCGCAAAACATTGCAACGAGTTAGTGATGTGTTCGACAAGCTACGGCTACCGCAGGTATATATTGGTATAATACTGAAAACTTCAGTAAAACGAAAGGTAAAACACTAGTAGGCAAAATGGAAACTGGGAACTCAATATATAATTTGCTGGAATTTGAATTTGGATATCAATGATGATAAGGGAAAAGAAAATACGTTTTTGGTTCATAATAACTTTGAAAACTTTGTTGCTGTTTGCTGCCGTTGATTCGAAATCCGTCAATGCTGATGAAGATGGCGATTCCTTGGATTGCTCGTTTTCTTCTTTTTTCACCTTCGCAGATTGTTCAAATCGGAATCTTTCAGAAATACCTTTAAATCTTCCATCTACAGTCATATACTTGTGAGTAAAAACTTTCTATTTGTTGCTAATAGATGGAATAGTTTTTAAGTATACCATTCATTATCGAAATCCTATGCAGAATACAGCAAGTAAATAAAGTATTTGCAACAGGTTTCGCTCCAGACTGCTATTTACATTGGATTGCGATGCTTAGGCCTTTATAAACACATTTTCCTGTAAGGTATCCGGCCAAAGCTGAAATAAGTAAGTTGAAATATGACAAGAATCCACAACGTGAAATATTAGACCGAGTTCAACTGTTTGTAAAGTTCAAATCTCATGGCATGTATTTATCTGTGAGATCTGGCCGTGGAATATGTCAAAATGTACGAATTGACCAAAGGAAACTGGGTTCATGACGAGTTTTTCTCGTGACAGAAGATAGGGCATTGTCAAGGATGTCGAATTTTCCTTATGGTTTTGTGAAGGACTGTCATGAGGGCATCGGTTAGGTAAAGCAAATGTTAATAAGGCTTCGATGCTACAGAATTTTTCAATCGCCCGTACACTGTCACCTGCCTCATCATATTAGCACCACCGCATGTTCCATGGTGAATGAATTGCCCTTTGTCATGGGGAAAAATACTTTATGTTTTGAGGAAATTGCCCTTGTACGATGAAGGAAATTGCCCCTGTACGATGAAGGAAATTGCCCCTGTTCGTTGAGGGAAATTGCCCTTGCACCATGAAGGAAATTGCCCTTATTCGATGAGGGAAATTGTCTTGTGTTGTGGGGAAATTGCACTTTTGTTGTTGGGGAAATTGCACTTTTGTTGTAGGGCAAATTGCCCTGGTGTAGTGGGGGAAACGCTGAAATTGGAAATATTAAAATAATACTTTCCGTTTGTCTTTGCCATTGAATATTGGAGAAATGACAGTGAATTTTCCAATTATCTCATACAAAATTCTTCTCTTCTCTTTCTTATGAAACAAACCAATTATTATTGAACGAAGCCCTAACCATAGAACCATCTTTTCAAAGGATAAGACACTTTGGTTGTCTTGTTAAAGAGATAATTGATTTGATGATGTTGCGTTATCAAACTCTTAATATTTGAGTTGTTTTATTAAGCTGTATCTTCTGAGCCACAAATAGCGAAATATCTTTCTATTTTTTCAAAGTTAATTGAAAATTTTCGGACTTGAAAAGATAGCTTTTTATTTTGGTTACTCTATGAATAATTTTGGTTCCTGCAACAAATGTTGTGGTTTTCATTATTTGTTGATTCAAAGAATGCTCGATGTTATAAAGCGAGTGGAGGCGATAAATCAAGTAAAGCAAGTTTTTCGTGCTAAAAGAATCCTAAACAAATTTTATAGCAAGATTATAAAAGTTAAATGACTCGTATTAAAGGTTTTGCTAAGTTTCTTTTAAATAAGAATAGATGTATCCGATTTCTGCAGTAATTTTTCCGTATCATATTGAATTGCGCCCTTCCTCAACTTTGCAATTGTTTCTGCCACTTTCCTGCAGCATGCAAGAATTGGAGTTACGTAATGAATACTTACCTTTGGCCAGTGCTCTGTGCAATGTTATAAGTGAATTATTTATAATCTGATTATTGGATATATAATTTGTTCTTACAGGAGAAACCCACCGGAGAATTTCTTACCGGTCGATTTGAGATGATTTGAGGGTTTCAAAGAGGTTGTGCAAACCTGCGAAAAATGGTGGATAAGGGCTCTTCCTTTATTTTTGTCGTTGAACTTCTTTAGAAGAGAGAGAAATCATTTACGAATGAAAATCTTAATTTTTTTATTAAAAATGGACCTTGTTTGAGCCACAAGAATTTACAGATCTTGATGATATGGGCATAGCTACGCAAACTCCATAAGCAATGAATTTAGGGAAACGTCATCAAGGATTAAAGATTTATAAAGATATCAATGCATTTATCACCACACTGTTGACTTTGGAACTGTACTGTTGTGGAAAGGTTTGATCAATAGTATCTGCATAAATCCACGACTTGTAAAGATCAATTAACAAGATGCAGGTGAATTCCTTTTGATTGAGGTCGAGAGAAATTTTGGAGAAATCTTTGGATCTTTTGAAGTAAACGCATTAATGTCGTGAAGCTCAAGTTGATATTTTGTGGTCGAAATTATCTGAATATTTTATGTGAATTATGTATTATTCAATTGTTTTGATATAGAGACCCAATTTGTCCTTTTGTTTTGTTGTATGGATTTGCAGGTGTGAATATCAAGCCTTTGCAAATAACTTGAGTGTATTGAAAGTTTATTTTTCTCAAAGAAAGTCAGCGTCTTGAATGTGCAAATAAATGTTGTGATTCCAATGTGTATTTCAAGGAGTATCATATCGGTATCTGGGACAAGAAACAGCCAACTTTTAATCTAATAAAGTTAATAGTTAAAAGATCTTCTTCATAATCCGATTCTTAGAGACTTGCAAAGTTGCCCAAAGTTTTTTCCCATATGCCTCGAAAACGTTAGACTTGTGCTCTTTGGGGAAGTCCTATAATCTACAGAATAAAACAACGTCCATGCTTTGGCCCTACTTTTGCACATTTAGCAACTGTGTTGAAGTTCTCTTATTTTTTTCCAGGCTTTTCTTAAAGAATCTCTGGGCTGTTTCTGTTTCCGCCAATTAAGAATCTATTTTGTTTATGATCTTGAATACGATGATAAGACGACATAATTGAAGAGCTGATCTTAGTCTTAACCAAGTAAACTTAACTTCTGATTGAGCTACACCTTCGTGGATTTGTCTAGAAGCCCCATTGGATTTTTCTAGGGACTAAGCTTAAGAAAATTGTTTGTGGGGTGCAGATCCCCGAGTCTTGCCGACATTCAGACAAAATTCTTTATCGATACCTAAGCGAATGTTTACCGACCTGATTCTG